GACACATCTGCAGTTGGAACTGGAGAGACAGTCGTCACTTCCTCGGACACTGGCTGTCTGGACTCGAGTCCTGAATCACTGACACATCTGCAGTTGGAACTGGAGAGACCGTCGTCACTTCCTCGGACACTGGGCTGTCTGGACTCGAGTCCTGAATCACTGACACATCTGCAGTTGGAACTGGAGAGACCGTCGTCACTTCCTCGGACACTGGGCTGTCTGGACTCGAGTCCTGAATCACTGACACATCTGCAGTTGGAACTGGAGAGACAGTCGTCACTTCCTCGGACACTGGGCTGTCTGGACTCGAGTCCTGAATCACTGACACATCTGCAGTTGGAACTGGAGAGACCGTCGTCACTTCCTCGGACACTGGGCTGTCTGGACTCGAGTCCTGAATCACTGACACATCTGCAGTTGGAACTGGAGAGACAGTCGTCACTTCCTCGGACACTGGGCTGTCTGGACTCGAGTCCTGAATCACTGACACATCTGCAGTTGGAACTGGAGAGACCGTCGTCACTTCCTCGGACACTGGGCTGTCTGGACTCGAGTCCTGAATCACTGACACATCTGCAGTTGGAACTGGAGAGACCGTCGTCAATTCCTCGGACACTGGGCTGTCTGGACCCGAGTCCTGAATCACTGACACATCTGCAGTTGGAACTGGAGAGACCGTCGTCACTTCCTCGGACACTGGGCTGTCTGGACTCGAGTCCTGAATCACTGACACATCTGCAGTTGGAACTGGAGAGACAGTCGTCACTTCCTCGGACACTGGGCTGTCTGGACTCGAGTCCTGAATCACTGACACATCTGCAGTGGGAACTGGAGAGACAGTCGTCACTGCCTCGGACACTGGGCTGTCTGGACTCGAGTCCTGAATCACTGACACATCTGCAGTTGGAACTGGAGAGACCGTCGTCACTTCCTCGGACACTGGGCTGTCTGGACTCGAGTCCTGAATCACTGACACATCTGCAGTTGGAACTGGAGAGACAGTCGTCACTTCCTCGGACACTGGGCTGTCTGGACTCGAGTCCTGAATCACTGACACATCTGCAGTTGGAACTGGAGAGACAGTCGTCACTTCCTCGGACACTGGGCTGTCTGGACTCGAGTCCTGAATCACTGACACATCTGCAGTTGGAACTGGAGAGACCGTCGTCACTTCCTCGGACACTGGGCTGTCTGGACTCGAGTCCTGAATCACTGACACATCTGCAGTTTGAGCTGGATTGTTAATCTTCTCTATGTCGTTTGCTGATATTTGTTCACCCGTGCTCAGAATGTCCATCGCCTCCTCTATTTGTTTATTATATTCATCTGTTTGTTCTTTATTTTCTATAATCTTTGTTTCTATTAATTTTTCTTTTTCATTCTCATTCTTTTCATCTTCTAATAGCGTGTTTTTTTCATCATTATTGTCCTTATTACCTTCTTGCCACATATTCTTCATTTTGTCATGGTTTTCTTCATTTGCATTGATATCCTTTTTAATCCTTCGATTGAGTTTGTTTTTGTTGTTAATTTTTATTTGTTTTTGATTTTCCTTAATTTTTTGTTTACTTTTTCTCCTTATATTTTCTGAATCAATATCATTTGATGAACGTTTTCTTCTATATTTTTTTGTCATTGATATTATGTTATTTTTTAATAATAACTTTGATAGTTCCTTGTTTATTAAATTATTCCTTGACTCATTGTTACCAGGTCCTTCATTGAAACTTTTTTCTGGATCAATTAATTTATCTCTTCCATCATCATATTTCTTTTTTTGATTAATATCCATATTTGATAATATTGATCTTGAATAAATTGTATTATTTTCTGTTAAATTAATATATTTCTGTATAAAATAATCATATAAATGATTAATTGATAGATTTTCATTATCTTGTCTATTATTTATTATATTCTTTATGTGTTGATTATTCAATAAAGTATCCTTGTTTATATTACGTAATAAATTTATAAAGTATTTATTATTAAAAATTTGTAATGAAGATAAATCTTTTATATTACTATTATTATTTAAATGAATTACAAATTGTATTAAATTTTTATTGGATAATTGATTTCTAATGATTTCATTATATAGAATATTACGTAATAATATGTCATCATTTATAGTTTTATTAATAATAAGTTTACCTTTAGAATTATTTTGTTTATTTTTTAGTTCTTTTATTCCGAATATTGTAGAACATTCTTTATTATTATTATTACATGGATTGTGGACGAATTGATTTTGTTTTAATATAATTGAATTATTCATTATTTGATTTAAATCATTATTTTTTAATGAATGATTACTTTCTTTATTACTATTATTATTATTATTATTATTATTATTCATAAGATTATTTACTGTAGTAAATGTTTGTATCGAAGCAATATCTTTAAAGAACAATAATAATTGATTATAATTATCATTAATGATATTAGTAAGAATAATTTCATTATTATTATTATTATCATTATTTAATTGTTTATCATTTAAATTGGATAATGTTTCAATATGTTGATTTACGGTTTTGTTCATAATAGGTAATGAATTAATACTTATATGAAATAATAAAAGTAATACTATAGTTATTATGATCATTATTTCAATTGATTCTCTTTTTGTTTTTGTTTTTTTAATCCAAGAATTATTGTAAATGAAAATCTATCAATCAGTACTTGAATATAAAATATTTGTATGAATAATATTAGATTTCATTTAAATCCATATTAATGGTATTAGAGATTATTAAATGAAAGACTAAGTCCATATCTGTTAGTTCACACTTTTTGGTTAAAATTACATCACTCATTATATATATTGGATGATTTGAACATGCTATACCAATAAACTTTATCTTCTATATCTATATAATGCGTGGGTACAGATAAATAATGATAGGTTTGATATATATATCAAGTCTGTTTCTTTATATAAATATAAATATACAAATCGAATTGGACAAATAGTTTTCTTGTACATTTTGTACTTCTATCATCGTTTTTATGATTTTATGTATGTATGCATACATGTATGTACGTATTGGTGTATTTGTTATAAACATCTAAAAATTTGATAAAAACATCAATTTCATATATGGTGTAAATTTCACTCATCTAGTATTATATTTATTAATAAGGATAATTTGCATGGGAAAAAGTGTGAGATAATCATCAACACAAGGGAGACAAAAAAATTAGATACAACATTCAAGAAGAAATAAATGCAGACAAATATTTAATGTTGAAGAATAAATCAATTTACATGTTTTGATTAGCTTAATGACTAAAATGAGATGCTATATTCTTGTTACTTAGTAAGTATCTACAAACATAAATATAAACATAACAATTTGTAACTATAATTCTGCATATAATAGTTACTCGACGAGTTTTTTTTATGATTAATAGAGAAAGAGGACATATGAATTATTAACCATAATTGATGATACATATCAAAACATTGATTTCTGAAAGGAACATAGAGAGTGTAGTTGTAGGACTACAACTGTTTATTTCAGAGCTAAGAGCTTGGTAGTTGATATCTTGTTTTAGAAAATATGAATTGTTGAGATTGCACAATGAAATATTTGCACCTTACTAATAACATTAGTTTGAATAAAGTGAGTTTGTCGACTGTTGTAAACCATCTTGGAATAGCAAGTAGTTTCTTTTGACTACAATTCGAATCTCAAATCCCAAATGAGGATAGCTTTAACTCGTGTAAATTTTGATGTATCATTATGCTTATCTTAAATATAACTTTTTTGTAATTAATTTGGTTTCAACACTTGTAGTACGCTTGACATAATTTCTTAACAGGTAAAATAAGTATGTGGAATATGGTTTAAACAGGATACTTAACTTAGAAAAATACCTTAGTATTTTTCATTTTCAGGAAAAAATGAACTGATTTAATTGTCAACATTTAAATAATCAAAAACTACTTGACTTGTAGTGTTAAACTATTTCTATGTTTAGGAACAATTCAGTTTCAGTTTCTTCAGATACTGAAATGTAACATACATTAAAATTTTGTGAACTATTGACATACCTGGTTTAAACGCTAGTATTTAGACATGAAAAGATACTGATAGATAAAAGAAACACCAAGAGAATATTGTTAGTTTGTAGGTAGACGATAAATTTGTTCACAGCTTCTCACTAGAACTCTGATAATCCTCTCTCGAAGTTAGTCACTAGTGAGCAAATGACAAGCTTTGAGAGGAGAGTCTAAGAGTTCTAGTGAGAAGTCTTGACCAGTAGAGCTAATCTGTGTCAGGTGTCAGGCATTTATTCACCGAAGACAATAAAAATGGTCGCACAACTTTGTAGATTGATTGTAGTTAGACACTAAAGTCAACAATCTTCATAACCTGATACTGACAACTATATTTTCATTAATTAGATAATGATTTGATGGGGTTTAATACCGATAAACTTTCCTAAAGTTTATAATTTTCCTTATGTTTTTTGCAATGTTCAACTTCAATAACGTACAAGTGTCATTCGTTCATGTGCATGCCATTACAGTGCATTGATCATCTATTGTTATTAACTTCACTAGATGTTGTTTTACTTGTATCTTACCATTGTTATTTAGGATTGCAATTGATCAGTCCCTTGTTGGCATATATTCTTCCTATAAAGATTGCCTCGATATAGCCTTAAGTCACAAGCTTTTTAAGCAAATATCGATAGTGGCTAGCAGTAGAATCCAGAATGCGTGTTTCGTCCTATTTGGTACTTCTCATCTGGATGTACCTGCATTTCAAGGTTGATATTCACTCCGCGACTCAAACCCAGTACCGTTCGCTTCAAACGCCATCGCTATTTTGCAAAAGAAAACTTTAAAATATCAATGTAGAAACATTGTGCTTTCTTATAATACCAATATTTATCAATATTCTAGCCAATAATTACCAGCATATTACGTAACACCCATCCATTTTATTTTATGTCTGCTTACAATATATTTAGGACCAGAAGGATGGATGGCATCAAGTGAAACTGGGTCAAGTTGTTTCACTGAGTGTCTTGGTAGTATAATAGATCAAATGTGTCGTAAATCATCTTATTCAAATTCTGTTAAACTTATCAATTCAAATTATTCAGATGAAAATTTAGCACAAAGTTTTACTTATCAAGTTGTATCAGTTTTGAAGGGAAAAATTATACCTTATAGTCTAAGAAGATTATTGTGGCCGCTGGCATTATTTACAGTAGCCGAATGGACTAGATCAGAATTGGAAAATCCAATTATTTGGAATGGACACAAAATGAGGTAGAATTGATTTCACAAAATTTATTGTCGTTCATATTCTTTTCTGAGGATGATTGTAAATGAATTAAGAATAATATAATGCAAACAGTCTTGATAATCTACTTTAATTGAGTTAATTATTATTGAGTCCCTTGATTTTTAGAGATTTTCTCAATACAGTACAGTTATAATCTATTTAAATTGTTTGTTTGTCATGCTAGTAGTATTTGTTCTAAGGATAAACTCAAAATAATTTGTTTTCTACCTAATAAAAGTGATTTAGTTAAAAAAATATAGCCAAAAATAAACAGCCTCTTGGAAGCTAGTGTTTCTGAAACTTCAGCTTAAAGGTAATAACCTCTGAAATCCTGTAGATTCAGTCACATCATGGGTTCAACTTGTTTGATCAGTTGTAACTGTTAATCAAATCACTAATATGCTTCTCTGCTTTGGTCCAACACCAAATCACTAATACTTAATTAATATTCATTTCATATTCATCTGTGAAACTCATTTAGTATTCCACAGATATGATGAGATTCTATTTTAAAATGAAGATTTCTTAATTTGCTTTCTTCTTATATGTACAATAAAATTAAATCGATTATCCGTTAGACGGTTGTCTTTTTAACTTAAAATATCGTTTAAGTTGATTTCCATGAAAATTACTGAGCTAAATAAATTGCATTCTAATGACTGACAGTAAATTCTTTTGGCTTTACTGTGAAAATCCTTATATTAATTGCAAATAAATCATCATTGTTTAGAAAGTTTCCCAACTTTGCCGCAGGTTCGTTACCTAAAGCCAGTGTGTTGCTTTTAGATAAAAAAATATCACAATTGACGATAGTCATTTCACATGGTTATAGCTGCTTTATTCCATTTATGTTCGCCAGTGCCCTGGAATTAAAATCCTGATCAAGAAATTCGACATGGTTTAGATGTATCATAGAAGAATTTTAATTAAGTTATATCACTTACTATGTATCAACTTAGGCAGATTTGCTAAGACTCCTGGAAGGCCTTTTAAAAAACCGTTTCCTACATAATGAAAGCCAAAAAGCTCTACCATAAAAATAAGAAGCGTGGAATTTAGAAGCTAGATCTTTAGGCCATAATTATTGAACTGATAACGCAAATATCACTGCTTTAAACCGAAACTTATTTTGGATCTACATAAAATTCTTGTGAGAACTTCATAAAACGATTTCATGTTTTCGTCATATTTTACCTAAAACCAAGAGAATTAGAATCATCTGCTCGAAGAAATTTTGGCGTTTTATTGGCATCTGGAACCGCAAAACTTGGATTGACTACTCCAATGTGTTCAAAATTTGATGACATCATTAAGAAAAGTGTGAAAGAGGTAAATAAGTAATTAAACGTTATATATATATATATATATATATATATATATATATATATATATATATATATATATATATTAGAAGCTATTTATAATGAGTATTATAAAAAGTAATGTATAAATGCCGTTAAAAATTTATTTCTTACTCAATTAGGAAGCAATCAGAACTACAGAGAGCATTTATAAATTGACAACCTCATCATATAAATTGATAGTGTTAACTATTGCTAGGTATTTCGACTATTGCATAGATAAAGCATGTTAGTTGCCATAAAAATAGGATACTCTAAGTAAGTTTAGGCAGTAAATAACTTTTCAGAAAATTTTTTTAAAGTTCAAATTAATTATCAAATATTCAGCTTTTTATCAGCATACACCCAGCAAATACTCTATAAATTTCAAGATATTCAATAAATTCGTACCAATGATTACTTGATATTGCAGATAAATGTAATAATGTAATTTTTCTTTTGAGACCCTCGTTCATATACATACCCAAACTGTAATTAGTTTAAGTATTCATCAGTACATGGATGTGGTTATATAATCCAAGGTATAAGCTAACTCGCAATGAATATGTTGTAATTAAGAAAAAAAACTTCATTTAAAGTCATACATAAATCTATAAGGAACAGTAAAACAATTTTGAGTTGAGTAGTTAGTAGTAAAATTATTTTTTAAATTACATCATAGTACAAAATGTCGAGTTTTACATGAACATTATAACTGATTTTGATAATTTTGCATTGTCTAATCTAGAATGTTTAATGTTAGCATCTTCGTTTTTATTCTAGATATTGTCAAAATCGATTCCCAGTGGATCAAACTATTGAGGATTATTTCCGGAGTCTATTACAATAATTTTATTTGTGGATGATCTTTTTCAGATGTTTTACCACCCTATACATTAATCTCACTGATTGTTTATTCGGGTTTGATGTCTAACCATGGGTAGCTAACTTTTAGATCATAGGTTTGCGGATTGACAAAACGTATAGTTTGATTGCTAACCTGTTGGGTTATGAATGCCTCTGCGGAAATGAACTCTTTTATACACTTCAGAATTACTTACAATTACTATGATCTACCTTGTGAATAACAATTAACTAATCTTATTTCACTATAATAGAATTTTAGTTCCGTGTGACAACTAAGAATACCCTGATCATCTGACAATAAATTCTATTAAGGGTAAACATCAATTGAGACATAAAGCAAAAAGAAATCTGGTTCAGTGAATTCATGCTTTATGTTGTACAACCATAAATACATACTTTTTACCATAATAATAACTGAGAATACGTTTGTAGATAATATCCATAATTCACCGTACATAACTTCAGAAGAGCAAAATAGATAAATAACGAAGTTGATATTTTGATCAAGAAAATAAAAATTTACTTGATAAGACACTTATGTTCATCAAGAATGCAATGGAATTTAGATGAAGATTAATCATTATAGAAATTGACTAAGCGACATGATAAGACAGAGTAGTGAAACGTAAATGAAATGTAGTCAGAAAATGAAATGGCAAAGGAAAGAAATTACATTTCAAGTTCAGTAGTGCAGTAGAGAGAGGATGATAGCTTGAAAATTTATGGGTTAAGACAAGACTGGATTAGCTTTCTTAGTGTTCACAGATGATTTTGAACGGTGAACCTGTTTTTATCGATTGTGCCGCGTTCTTATAAATTCATTGATGCCTCTTTGAGACCAATCTGAATAAAATTTTCCTGTCTGCTTGAAAAGAATAAGCACTGATCGACCAACACACCAAGACATCAATAACAACAGTTGAATTGTTAAGCCCAAAGTGAAGTGGCTAAATACATAAGTTCATCCTTAAGTTTATCGTTGAACATCGATCTAGTGTAAAACAGAAACCTTAAAGTTGATGAGAAAAATGTATGTTTTGTGAGGGTTAAAAATCCTCATATTCAAGATATTTGCGGATTTTTCACCCGTAAAATGAAGTTGTACGTAAAGCATTTCCTTTGGCATATAGATTACTAATTCTTTTGGAGATTTGAGACAATTGTGATTGGTTTGGTGTATGCTATATTGTATCGGAGAATCTTGCTTTTTCCTTTGTGTATATTGAGATCTACTGCTGCTGAGGCTGCTTCTACACTGGTCGTTTCCTCCTGCATTTGTTGTTACGTTTGCGATAGAGGGCCCAGATCATCTGCAAAGTCTAGATCGTCCAACTGCATCCTAGATGTCCACTGTATCTCGTGCTTTCCTTTAGATGTTGAATTCTTCATGATCCAGTCTGATATAGAAGTTATAAATTCATCGGATGGATATTGCTTGAGATATCATTAACTCCGTCTTTTTATTAACAGAGCCCTTAGATATAGAAGCGTGCTAACTAGTCAATCCATAAATGTTTCCTGTAAACAGATCTACCATAATTTCGCTTTAAATGCTTCTTATTATGTTCATTTCAACTTCATAGTTTTATAACGGCGTTGTTGTATATGTTTGTTTTATTAACTAACAGACATTTTAGATTACATTTTAAAACTATATAGTCATATCAATAAAATAAAAAAATAACATGCTTATTGTATGAAAGAAATGTAAGTACTAATTTTAATGACATTATCTTCTTGATCATCACGTAATAATAAAAAAATAAAGATAATTATTTAACCACTAGACAGTACTTTATTTAAGATAACTGGTTCACTGATAGATCTAATAGATTAGATAATAAAAATTACTAATTACATCAGATTATCTATATCCTACATACTTTAATCTTTAAATATTATCATCTTCATCATTGGTTTTAAGTGACATATTATGGAAAAGGAGTTTTGAAAAGCTAACTTAAATTTATATTGTGAAATATTTGATCATTACTAATGTAAATGAAATACATCCATTAAAACATTAAATAAGAAAGATTAGTTCAGTGAAGAGTTCTCTTTTATCATACAAAGGTACAAAGGTATTAAAAAAGTTTTTTATTTAACCTCAACGTTACCATGTCTAACAGAAATTTATTATCAGTATTATTATCATCCTATAAAATAAGTATATATATATTTGCGATTGTACAGCTTTGCAAATGAAGTCGCCGAAAAGAGAACTCTTCACTTAACTAGTCTTTCTCATTACTAATGTCACATTAGATACAATGATAATACCTCCGTTCATTTTTCATTGAATATAAAGTACTGTTGATAATGCAAAATAATGTATATTTATTACATAAATAAATTAAGTAAAATAATACTGTAGAAAATTTCTTAAAAAATTTTTCTAGATAAGTTTAGAACTTGAAACGAAATTCAAAAATCAACAAAAACAGTTTAAACAATTCAAAGAACAATCAGTGAAAATTTTAAATGTATTTTATACAGCTAAACAAATTTATGATCCACTTTATATTTATTGGCTTCTTCCTATTCATTTTGCACTTAGTAAAGAATATATTTATGAATTAATTAAACATTTTCCTGATATACCAACAAAAGTTCCTATTAATTCAGTTGATGAAGGTAATATTATTTGCATCGTTGAATACTTGATATATTTTATAATGTTAAATTAATTGGTTACTAAGTAGTAGTCTTATTCTTAGCACTGAATAGATTCTATCTATTGAGTTGGAATTTGATTACTATTCTAAATGTTGATTATGCTTTATTTAGTTTGAAAATAGATGTTGCGAATAATTTGCATCACTATCAGAAAATAAGTTTTAAAAAGTTATTAATCATTAGGAAAGTGGATCAGTGACCACCGGAGAATTAATGTCTCCTTGGGGATTCAAAACTAGTTATATATTAAAAAAATTGATGACACCAATAAATGAATTCATAGTGACATATTATGCAGAATTCATAATATGACATAGTCAAAACATCCCACAAGAAAATCGAGACATAAATTCAACCATAATATAATGTTAGACATTTGATCAAAGTCTACTAGTAAAATGTTCCACAACAAGGTTATTAGCCCCAGTTTAATTCAAAATGTAATTTGTGTCGAATTTAAGGTTTAGACTGTTGGTTCATTGATTCTACATACAGTTTTATCCTTTGAATTAGTAATACAATAAAATGAAAGATTTTGAACAAGAAAATATCTTTCTGGTGAAATATACTTACAAATTTTATGAGAATATAGTCAATATGGAAAGAGAAAGTGTGCTCAAACTTGTGACCTTTTAGCTTCACAAAATTTGCAAACAATTTTAATAAATAGAAAGGGATTTTATGAGTAAACAAAATGGCAAGATAATTAGCGTAAAAGCTTAGATCAGATGAAACTCACAAAACCAATAGAATACGTTCTATAACTATTCTTAAAATAAATTATTTTAAAATGATAAATAACTAAATCAGTATATTAAAAGTATTCTTTTACAATTTAGTCCCACAATAAAGTTCAATGACTCAGTATACGTGGATAACTACCCTCTCATAAACCAGATTTCAGTCGTCCCTAAAGTGATGTGGAAATCGTCAGGAATGTTGTCATGTTAGTCAAACAAAGATTTAGTACTGAAGTATAATGACATTATCAAATTTCAAATAATAAATTTCTAAATTAGGCAATTGTATTTGTTATTTGACATTATATGATAATCAAACTAGTGACGTGATAAAATTTTTTACTTTACACCACATTATTGGTGATACATATAGTCGAAGTTTTTCAAATATCAATAAAGTAAAAATTATTCAATGATTTAGAAGTATCACATTCTTATGTAATAACACATCAAACTATTAAAAATAAAAAAACTATTCTCTGAAAAAGTGACTTACGCTAAGCCACGAAACGTCAGAAAATCTAATTTTCTACTCATTGGGATATTACAAATATATTATTTATTTAAAACAAACTATGGTTGGAATCATGAGTCAATTAAAGCTAGACCACCATGGAACCCAGGACCTATCAGTCTCGCGCGCGAGTGCTTAACCATTAGTTTAATCTTTAAGAGCTCGCGCGCGAGACTGATAGGTTCTGGGTTCGAATCTCGTTAGACGGGATCGTGGATGCTGACTACTGAGAAGTCCCATACCTGGACAAAACAGCCGTTCAGTGCTTCCAGGCTTTCCATGGTGGTCTAGCTTCAATTGACTCATGATTTCAACTATTGAAATTACTAAAAATCTTTACAAAACCCCTTCCGAAAACGAACTATCTGGTAAATCTTTTTTAATTCTAGGTATTCAAATCTATTCAATTGCTTTATGTTTAAGTATATTTGTTGATATAATGAGTAAAAGGTATGGATTATATCATAATAATATTAATAATATAATTGAAAAAACAATGAACAATATCAATCAACTACAATGTATTCAGCATATTAAAAATGTTCATAAAGAGTTTATTCGCCAAAATTCTAATTCTAATAATAATTTTTACAAGAAATTGGATTTTAAAGTAAGTTTTAAACAAAATAAAATTAGTTGTTGAACTTTCATCATTCATGGGGAAATTTGAGCACTTCATTTCTACCTGAATTTTGTACTGATGATGTCGTTCAGAAGAACTATGAAAACTCCACGATTAAACCATCCAGCTCAGAGAATAAAATTCCATCAAAATCATTCACCTGAGCTACAAATCTCCACCATTGATATGTTTATTTGATTTAAGTGACAAACAAGAAACCCATTTTTATAGAGTACTATGATTCCACTGTACGTTTTTGTTTTCTTTACTTATCTACGTAAAAGCTTGTGGATTTACTTTAGGGGTTAGGTAGATGATCAAGAGTTGTGCGTGTCCAGCTCGGTATAACGAAATCGCATTTAAAATACCAAAAATTTTTTATATCAGTGTAACTTCTCGTACTAGAATTTAATCTATAACAATGTTAATGAATTAGGTAAGTATCGCTTAACAGTATGACAAGTAAATCAATTTCTAAATGAGCTAGATATCAGCTGTGTACAGGAAAAAATTCTTCATCTGTACTTTTAAGTATATATATATATATATCACAGCATTCATGTTAAGTGAAAGATTTTTGTCATAAAGTAAAGCCTACCATGAACCTCAAAACTCTTTAGTGTAAATGATGAATGCTTAAGTACAAGTAACCCAAGTTGCATATAAAACATTAACTGACAAAATTTAAATTTGGAAATGTTAACAAAGTGTAAAATCTGAGAACAGTACAAATATTGAGATGATATCCGATTAACTTTTGAATTCAACACTTATCATAAACATCAGATTAATGTCCCATATTATTTAGGATTCATAGTTCGACTAACCACTGTGTAGCAACTTTTTAGTGATGCCAAATTCTTGTAATAAAAATGTCAAATAAACATACTTTAGTTTGTTTACTTTCTATCCCACCTAATACAGTACATTCTAATTATTCTTCTAAAAGCCATTTGTTACTCATAAGCTTCTGGAATTAAAAAAACTTGATGAATTATGATTTCGATGTAATGTACTTTATTTTCGGGAATTTATTCGAAGTAGTTCTGCATATCTGCCGTTCCTACTATGAGTTTCAACCAGTAACCATCTGTTGTATAAAATATTAAATCTCGATGGTTGTGCTTCCAATGTATTAATTGTCAACTCCTTGGTCATGTTCTATTTAAAGTGGGGGATAAGTCATACGTTGGAATTAAAAGATTAGTCTATGTATAGTTGCAAAAATAGTTACAAATGGAGCATTATTTGACCGTTATTTTGTGACTCATCTACTCAACATAAAATTAACACTCAAGATTAGGCACAATTAAATTCCTCATCAAACTATGACGATTAAAGTTTTTACTCTATAATTTCAATAGCTAGAAGAAGTCATGATATAAACATGAGAATGACATTAAAGGTAATGATCTTATAGTTGACATTGCTTGAACTAATTTTTTCAGGAGACACTTATCATCTTTACTTTATGTTTTATTAATTCAACCGATTAATTGGAATAAATCTTGAAGGTATTTCAAAGTCAGATGATGAATGTGAATGATTTCAATACTGATGAGAAATTAAATACATTAAGTGAAAGTGAAAACTCATACCTTCACAGACTCTTAAAACAATGGTTCGATAAAGTAAGTGATTGTGTTGAGTTTTTATGTTTGGATTGTTTAAAAGTAAGATAGAGATTTAGTTTGCCTGTCACTTTTATCTTGTAAGTTCTTTAATGACAAATGAAAGCAAAATCTTTTTACCATTCATTTACAAAATCCAATATATGCTTAGAAACCGTAATAAGAAAATTTATGGTAGATAAATTAATACTTGATTTTTTATTCAAATAAAATTTCCTGTCAAAATATTATGTCAGTAACGCTGCTATCAACTTCTCATGAAGTGATACTTGTAATTATAATTGATTTAAGCTGGAAATATTTATTAGTATAGGCTAACCCAGCAGTTTAATGGTTAAGAACTTCTGGGTTCTGTGTTCGATCTTTGATGCAGTCATAAGCCTTCATTACTGATGAGTCATATACTGGAATAAAGCAGCTACACCATGCTTCCTGGTTTCTTATCTAAATCCAACTGAGGTCAAACAGTGTCAAGTACTAACCAGAATTTATAAAATTTGAAGACTAATAGAGTAAATGAAGGGACAATGTGCTAATACCAGATATTTAGTACTGAATTGATATCCCAAAGGAACGGAAATAGAAATAATTTAAGTGATAATGTCTTAGAATTACATCAAAAATACTTATTTATATTCATAATTCATACCTAAATATTTTCAATAGTTCTTGTGTGAATGATGCTTCCAACATAATTAAGAGACTTTATGTTTAATAGTCTAATATTCAAAAGAGGTACTATTATCTCAATTATAATATAGGAATTCTCATAAAGCAGTTAATCTGTTAAAAGAAATTTGAAAGTATAATCAGGACTGATTCAATCTTTCTAAAAAAACTGAAATGTCACAGTACATTTCGAACAATCTAATAATACATAAGCTTATCAAAACATTTTCACATAAAACTATGGAAGATTAATTGAGTACAGGGTTTAATAACAACAGATGATAACTGAGAATATAATCTGAAGTAATATGCTAAAAATATATAAACATACACACACACAAACACAAGAAGTCACACCACTCTTAACATTGAAATAAATTGAAACTGAGAACAAGGTGATAAATAAATGTTCTAACGACTATGGCAACCATTAATTTAAAAATGTGATTTCGGACATTTCAACAAAGAATATTTAAAAGCTATTTGAAATTCATTTTTATAATATTGTCTTATATAAAGATTGTAATTTGTAGATGTATAAAACCTAAGGAAAGATTTAAGATATAGTTTATTTAAAAGAAAAAACAAACTGTTATATAATATTTTTTAAATCAATTGATGACCAACACTGTTATGTTAATCAGATAAACAAATTCCTATAATTAAAATGGTCTGACGAAGAAAAGAACGTGAGGATAACTCCATAAATATTACTGAAAATTTTATTTATTATAAAATATAGAAAATATTTTTAACTTACAAAACAAGTGAGCTTACAAAAATGTCCTCCTAACAAGGAATACTTACGCCTGTTACTCCTAATGGAGCATAGGCCGCCGACCAACATTCTCCAACCCATTCTGCCCTAGTCATTCTTTTCCTGTTCTATCCAACTGTCGTTCATTCTTCTCATATCTGTCTCCATTTCTCGACGTAATGTGTTCTTTGGTCTTCCTCTTCTCTTTTGGCCTTGAGGATTTCAAATGAGAGCTTGTCTTGTGATGCAGTTGGGCGCTTTCCTCAATGTGTATCCTATCCACTTCCAGCTCTTCTTCCACCGCTGGGATCTGGTTTGTTTTCTCCCATAGTAGGTTGTTGCTGATAGTGTCTGACCAACGGATCCGAAGTATTTTGTGTAGACAGCTGTTAGTAAACATCTGTATTTTCTGGATGATGGCTTTCGTAGTTCTCCAGGTTTCCGTCCCATACAGTAGAACTGTCCAAACATTTGTATTAAAAATTCTGACCATGATGTTGGTTGACGGTTGTTTTGAGTCCTAGATGCCCTTCCATTGTAGATATACTGCTCTTGCTTTGCCGATTCGCGCCTTCACATCTTTATCAGATCCACCGTGTTCATCGATGATGCTGTCCAGATATGAAAAGGAATTTACATTTTCCAAATCTTCTGCGTCACTTGTGATTCCTTTGTTGCATGCAGTGTTCTATCGGAGAATATTCCTCCGCCCTGAGCCCCCTTGATACTACTGCTGTTCCCAAACCCGGATAAAGGAGGAGGGTTAGTGACCCCATCCCATAGAAAACTAACTCGCTAAAAAAACGCTAACTAGAAAAAAAATAACAAGGGACAGAACTAATACGAATGTATTATCTAAGTGAAATTTAATTCAACTTCAAATTATTATTTATGTACTTTAGTAATTGGTATTATATGTAGTTACAATCTTACAATTTGTTTTATTTACCTAATAAAATCCCCAATAATTTTTGTTCTATTTTATATTTCTTTATTATTATTCAGCTATTTGTTGGCACTGTAAACAGTATCGCTTTATTATATTTTTGGGATCAATTATTTTTAAATTCATTCAATTGTGATGTTATTATTGAATTCGCTGAAACAATCCTTGTATTATTAGGCTCAGATATTTTACAAATTAATAATCTTATTGATATGGAAAAAGTAAGTTTAAATGTAAATATTAATTTTATTAAATTAATAATTTTCACTATAGAAGAGGACAATATGTATTCATGAGAAAGTCAATTGTAGTACATACTATAGAGCAATACTAGTGTGATGAAATCGTTTGTTTTTTAAAAAATTCGCATGCTGCCTGTGAAGTATCTTAGTTCTTTATCTACTCAGGATCAAGTTGAGGACGTGTAATTCTTTTCGTTTTCATGTAAATCAAAGTTGCAATGATATTCTGATTTTTATATTCCATTTATTATTGATTAAAATATAAAGAATTAATGAAAACAATTTCATCGAAGGCAAGCATTTGGGATTTCAAATTATTCGAATTCTGTCATAATAAATCTATTTAAAAATGATTTTTTGTATGAGAATGTATCATTGTCATCTTGAAAATGGTCTTCAGTAAGATCTTTAAGTAAATAAGGATTCGAAAATTTCATAAGAAATCTTAATCAAATTACATTGTAACAGATTATGCATATATATATATATATATATATATATATATATATATATGAGTTACTAAGGAGATATACAAGTTGTCACTCAATAAGCTATTAACAATGTGATCTGAAGTACCTCCTTGAACTCTAAACGTTTTAGAACAAATTTGTCTCCAGTTGTCGATGTAGTTTACAAGGTTATAATGATATTTCATCAGGTTTTAAGTGTTATGAATAGACACCAAACTATTAAGGCAATCATCTTGTCAAAGTAACATTATTAAAAGGATTAACTAATTTATGATTAAAGATGGAATACTTAAGCAATTGATGTGTCATGGTCAACTAATATCAGATTAATGATACCTCTGCATAATTGTGTCGTATAAGTAATTATTTAATGTATGTCCATTACACTATTACTAAGTGTAAAATTGAAAGAGCTCTTCTAACACATGCATCTCAACCACGTTCTGAAAGTACTGATTAGTAAATGAGTATTAATGACAAATTTTATATATAAATTGTACGTTAGTAGAAGATAAATAAAATTTGTATAACCTCGAATAATCTAAAATCAGTAGAAATAATATCTTGTTCATTTGTGTTAGTTGCTTGAATATTTTTGTTGATGTTATGGACTGCAATCAATCAATCTGTATTGATACATTTGAATCTGGTGAGGATTGCCTTGATTTTGACATTAGGTAACAATGATTAAAACAGAATTATATGATTGCTGAATTCCATAACTAACCACCATCCAATTCTGTTAATATGATGTTTTATTAGCAATAAAATAAAAGGTATTTATGTTTGAGTGGTGCTATACTGTGTTCTTCTTACCTATTACTATTTTGCTTATCATGAATTTACGTACCAAGTGGAAGTTTATCTTAAGGTTTACCAAATATATTAATGTAAATCCACGTTTAATTGAGTGTGTTGCTTGACAAAAAATATCCACTTTGATTCTACTCTGCATAATAATCCATCTTGACAAGCTAGCTAACACCGAAAACTACATTACCTGAAAATAATTAATTTGGTTTTGTTTCTTTTTAAACTTCAGCTATTTAACCATGGACCGAATAAACTTCTAACGAAGGACATAATTCAAACATGGAATATGATTCATTTAGATAAAGTTTTAGATGATAATTACTATAAATTAAACAGACTTTCTGGGAAATTAGTGTGAGTTATATGCTATGATGATATATTCTAATTTATTTACACGAATTTGACTTCCGTCAGTATACTTATTTCTTCTTGATCCTAAAAATAAGGAATTCAGATTGGTATATCAATTCCGTAAAAATCTTTTCAAGTCTAGAGAGCACTTGGCAGCTATTTTGTTATGAATATAGAGTCTTCGGTAGAGAACCCTTGAAATTACACATGGGATCTAATCAAAGAACTTTAGGGTTCGCCATCAGTGTATAACAGTTTGTCAACACCTAATAAATTAACTAATACAGTTAATATTTTGAAAGGATATCAGAAAAAACCCACTAAATAAAGTTTATTGTATGATCATACGTTTAGGCAGTGATATGGTATGATGGTTAAAGTATATCGTTTTCAACCACTTGATTATTAGTCTGAATGTTATTGGGTCAAATATTATGACATATCTGTACTTGAAATGTTGATCAAAGCTAGTTTCGTGAACGCATATTTGATCAAATGTTATAACTATACATTCCTATTTCAAAAGTAAATATTTAAGAAAGAGTACTTCTGAATATAAGTACAAAATATTACCAAACTCATTTTTAGCTAGGTTATGAACTACATAAAATTTGCATATGTTATCGGAGTACTTTATACTAAGTAGAATTTCGAGGTAATGTTTAATATACTAGCGCATACCAGTAGATACAACGCATTATGTGAAATTTTATATGGCTAGTTATCCAAAGATGTATGTGTATTCTATTAAACAGAATAAGTTGAAAGTAAAGAAACAAAGGTTTCGGTTTGATTCCACATAGGATTCCAAAAAACTTTAGGTAAATGTAGGTCAGTCGTCAATAGTGATGCACAAAATCCAATTTTAAAATTGCGTTTTAAATTTCTAGTAGTCTATTGCAGTTTACAGAAACCATGTCAACAGTGTATAATTAACCTGAGTTCTATAGTCCTCGAGACTTGTTGACAAACTAACAATGTTTTCGGTAACAAATCTCATATGTCATTATTTATTTGAAATCACAAACCAATAAGTGTCAGACCGTCTGTGAGCATTGGACAGGCATATTATCCTAAAATGGGAATCCTCAGCAGTGCCCACCCACGATCCAACACTTGAGAATCGAACCTAGAACCTTCAGTCTCGCGCGAAAACACATAAACTCCAGATCACTGAGCTGAAATCCAACAGTGTTGATGTCTAACTTCCATCAATTTGTGACATTGTTTTCGGTGGATAATTGCCTCATAACGAACATGGGATAGCTTCACTGATCACGGTCTCTCGAACAGGGAATAAACGACTTTCCAGTGCTTCCAAGTTTTCAATGTTGGTCCAGTTCAAATCGTTTCATGGTTCCATTGAAATCCTTCAATCTCTACAACCCCTTACTGACGTACATTATTTCTGTTATTTTATCCTACTGACTGCTTTTTTATTTCACAGATTTAATACAAGTTATTCCTCTGACCCCATTTATTTGTGTGCAAAATTTTTCAGTTACCATAATTAGTAGGTTGCTGGTTATATGATAGGTATCGTTATGCTTTCTTGTTCGATAATATGACATAAGTTTTCTCGATTCCTTGGATGCTTACATGAGTTCTGTAAAAAATCTTCCATGTATATTCCATTTAAATTCTTTGTTCAAGCTATTTAAAACACTGTCATATATTCTTGATTTAGCTTTAGATATGTTTCTAATTTTATAAATAATATTGTTTAGAATAAATGAACAGTCTCAGTAATTTGCTTTGACTAACCTTCCGATAAGTCCGAGACTTTGATGATGACACCAAAGTAGGATTAGATCACCATTATCATATGAAGAATAACAATGTTTTATTATTGGCAGCTTTAGTATATTATTTAGTCAATTATCACTTGTCATAAGACTTAAGGAAGCTAAGAATTTAATTGATATTACCAACAGCTTTTGTCAATTACATTGCCAGTATAAACAGTTTAACTATTCGCGTTAGCATTTCTCCTTTTGTCGTGTGTTGAATAGTGTTAGTCAGTTAGTCGTAAGAAAAGTAAAACCTGATACAAATATGTATCAAATCAAGCTACGCACGACATCAACATAGAGAGATAAGATTTTCAAAGGGAATATAAGAGCAGTAGAAGCAGTGATAGTATCCATGGCAGTAAAAAACGTTTGGACATACATAATGCGATTTCAATAAATTAATTTTTGGGATAAAAAGTATAAAATAATTTTAAAAATCAGAACCAATTCATCTTCATCATTGTGATAGATTTCGAGCCATATCATCCAGTGTCTCCAACCACTTATCACTGTAATCATATGGATGCCAATCAAGTGATCTACACCTATCAACCTAATTCCGTTCAGCGGTCAGTGATTTCATGGAGTGATGTTGCATCTACTTTTGGGTTGTCCTGTTCTACTGGAGCAATACTCTGAGATCACATAAGATCAAACACCTAAAGATCATGCATCCATTCTGCTGTTGAAGATAAGGTTTCATAAACAAATAATTATAGAGTATAGTGCTGTGCAACATACACGCACATTGATTCGCAGACGAAAATCTCTCCAAAGCAATATATTTGAAAGGTACTCGAATCGAAGTAGAAAAGTATGCTGTACATTTTGGATAGAAATTTATGAGTTGATAGAAGATAACGAAACTTTCGAAAACTCTGCAAAGATTTTGACAAACAACAGCATACCAGGGATGATGAGGCTTCAGAGACATGTGAAGTGATCAATAAGCTTAACTATTTCATTACGAACCACTAATCCAGGCGTCGACGAGGACCAGCTTTCAAGCAACACTACATTTGGAGGGAAGTAAACGTATATCAAGAATATTTGTATCATTGCTCAATGCGATCAGAAGATTCTGCATCTGAAGATTTTGTCTTCATCAAAAAGCACTATGTCATCTGAGTATTCTAAGCCAGCAGGTGAATCTCCTGGTAAGATATTAACCCTTGAAAGTTGGAGAGTGATCCTCAGAAGTTCATTTATTACGAACTTAAATACAAATGGGGACAGCGATCACTACTGACGAGCACCACACGAGGTTGACGATTCTGATAATAAATAATCAAAAGTTCTGACTTGACCAGTAGCGTTCGAATGGAGAGCTTTCATAAGGTCTTTGTATATTGATAAATCTTTTACTACAAGCATCATCACCAAATTTCTCGGTCTGCAAATTCGAATATCATCTTTAAGTCAAGAAATACAATAACAGTCAGAAGCTTTTAAGTATACCTATGTTCTAGAATATGATAGAGAGTGAGCATTTGATCGGTGCATTCATATCTATATCTGAAATAAGTATGTGTTTCCTGAGCTTGCTGTTAACGAATCTTAGTTATGAATTGGTTGATTATTGGGATTCATATTTTAGTCATTATACTAGTTAATTTGATTTTTATCCTTTCCTATAAACTGGAACAATTAGTCATTAAGCATTCAAAATTCATTGGAATTAAAAATCTTCCAAGACTTTCAGATACTTTACATTTTGCCAATAACAACGGAAGCAATGAGATTTATGATTTACTATCAGAACCTTTTGATAAGTTCAAAATAAACATAATACTTTTTACTTTATTTAAATCTGATTTTGATTTGACTTGAAATTGAATTTCATTAAATCAATTATCAATTATTTTTTATTTAACTAGACTAATTAATCTTTGGCAAGACAAACAATCTACATTTATCACATAATGAATAAGTAAACCTTCATTATTTAATCAGCGTCCATATTTATTGTACTAGAAAGTATGAAAGCAAAAAAAATTAAGGATACTAACAAATTTACTTGCATGTAAATTAGCATGATATATATATATATATATATATATATATATATATATATATGATGTACCTTGGTACGCATAAATTATAATAGTATTCATATTTTACACCTTAAGTTGGGTAACCATAATAGAAGATAAGTTCTGAACGATAATTTGTGCTGTTATGTTAACATAAATTAAAAAAAAGCACTATTCGGTATAAATGTACACATACTATCAAAATGCTTATCCATCTATATATCAAATTAATCTGTGTTTATGTCACCAATGAGAATGAAAACACATCTAAGTATAATAGAATGAAAATTAATTACAAATTATCTAATACAAATAATACATAGATATGTAGATAAAAATACACGAACGTAATTTTTTTTATATATTTATTATACATTATGTAAAATTTGCATTTTTACTTAAATAACTAAAAATTGTGATTATAGTTACTAGATTTCTAAAAGATTTTAGAAATAGGTTACATTGATATGTCCACCTACAGTGTACTTAAAAGTTTATTACTAATTTAGTATGCAACTGAAATACAATATGAATTTGATTAAGATTTAAGTTTATATCAAAAGAGGTTCTGTGGAGATTTTAGTAATTTCAATGGTTGAAATCATGAGTCGATTGAAGCTAGACCACCACAGAAAACCTGGAAGAACTGGACGACCGTTTCGTTCTAGCATGGGACTCCTCAGCAGTGCGCATCCACGATCCCGCCTAACTAGATTCGAACCCAGAACTTATCATTCTCAGCGCTTAACCATCAGACCACTAAGCCAGCCTCCATCCAACGGTGTTAATGTCTGACTTCAACCAATCCACGAAATTGCGCCACCATACACCATTGTTTTCAGTGAGCTGGTATCTCATAACAGACCTGGGTGAACTCCACTGGTCACTGCTTCTCACTAGAACTGAAGGAATATCTCTTGAAGTCAGTCACTAGTGAGCAGATGATTAAGTTATTGTAATTCTGGTGGATAACATAAGTAACTGGATGGTATACGAAATTGCTTGATAAAATCTTGAAAGGTTAAGGAAATAAAAGTTATATTCTAACTATACAGTCAGATTAGGGGTGAAAAAGGTTATTATATTATTTCACAAATTTTCTGAAATTAAAATCATAGACGATTGGATATCGACTTATAAGATGTACTGTACCTGAATATCTTTAATTCAATGCAATCTGAAATCATCAATATTCACTGTGGTGAAGTTAGTAATCAAGATGAAGTTTATGTGATGTGCTCTCTAGTTTTTAATATGGATCTAGATGAAATTATATTAAAATTAAAAAGAAATAAAACATTTCAATGGTTCTAGTAAGTATTTTGTTTTACATTTATTCACAAAGCAATCAGTGAGTAACTAAAATGTTATCAAGAAATTTGTTTAGTAAATTTCGTGATTCTGTGTATATTATTATTAGTAATAGCTTTATTCGGTTCCATTTTCCTATTTTTTGATCAATCGTTGCGACGAATATTGAGTGGTCACCAGTTAGCAGTTCAGGAATCGACATCTGAATAATGTATGCATATTGTAAGCTATCATGATGTCTCCGACTGTGTATTTTTGTAACAAAAAGTTATCTGTTTTCTGATTTGTTTTAACACGTCATTATACCTATTGCTCTTACAACATATTCAGGTGCGTTTGTGTTAAATTTACGACATTTCACTGTACAAATTACGAAAATGTACAGTCGGAGACATCGTGATGGCTGACAATATGCATCGAAAAGAATATACATTATTCAAATGTCGATTCCTGAACTGCTATATTTGTCGCAACAATTGATCATGAAATAAGAAAATGGAACTTGTTGAAATACTTTGTGCTGAGAACTCTATATTGTACCAAAAATATACTGAATAAAGCCAATAGCAATATTAACAATAAAATCTAACAAACCTAATCAGCGAGACTATAATTTATAGACGAACCAATCGGGTATGAGATAACAGGTCTTAGATTTTGGTGCGAAATTCACCCATCCATTTGGATAAATAGCGTTTTGGCATTATAATTTATGTCAGTTCGTGATGAAAACTCTAAATCTAATTTCTAACCTTAACCATCTAATGTAAACCATAATTCTAATTCCTCACACTGGTTTATAACCCTCATTTGGTCCTAGTTGTTAGGTGGACACTTTCGAAAGTCATCTATAAATTATAGTTCCACTACCTTATCAAATTTTTTTAGAAGCAAAGTGATTTGATTTTTGAAGGCATCTGAAATCATTGTTGGAATCTGCCAATGTATCAAATGAAAATTTTTAATACTTTAATACTTAATTATAGATCATTAACAAAGGAAATACAAGAAACATCGAAGACAGATGTCAATTTTTATTTACAAGACTTCGTGATACATAATATCATTGTAACAACAGTAACAGATTCAAGAAAAGTAAGTTCTTTTGTAACAATTTGTATATCATTGTAAAAGTATAGAATGCTAAACGGTTTGTTATTATGTTATACTTAAAGATGATAATAAATATAGTCAAACCTTGAAGCATTATTCTCTATTTAAAATATGTATCTGTTCTTAAGTCCCAGATACAGCTTCACCTTATAATTATAGATCCAGGGTGTCAATGATAAAACTTACTTGAATTCTTCATTTTTTAAAATCATAAAATAACCAATTTACTTATATCTTGAAAATATTTTGTTCAGGTAACATAACACATTCTCATGGGTGCACTTATCAGTGTATTCCCGTATTGAATGTAGTAGTAACTTAATGTAATTAGAAACACATAATATATTGAATGTGATAATAACAATAGACGTATATATTTTCATTGTCAAAAAATATATGGTAAATAATAACAACCATAATAGTTGTTTAGTTTGATTTATGTTCTGTCGATAAAGATAACCATAAGTCAGTTGATGATATTCATAGGTAACGAAACAATAATAAGATACAATATAGGGAGATTATTTTCTCTTTAGTGATTTTATGAATATAGTATATTCATTAAAACTTGTTTTTCATAAATTCCTATTCTTTTTCTTTCCTAGATTTTATCCCCTAATTTATTTCGTATAAAACTGGACTATATTGTTGAAGATGAAATAAAACAAAGTACTTTGACTGAAACTATACCGTTAATTATATTTCATGGAAAAATATCTCGAATATATGATTTTTTAGATCAGATCTATTCTACTGATGAAGATTACAGTAAAAATAAGCCTAATTCAATTACAAATTATTCATATCCATCATTTATACAAGAACAATCTAAAATGTATATTACTATGTTTCAATTTAACATGGAACAATCTTACTCTTTTATGGTAAATTTCAATTTTATGGGTAAAAAAAGGATTCAGTCTTTTAATAGTTTATTTATAAACAATTTATTTTTTATTACTACAAATGAATCGAAGTAAATAAAATGCTGAAATTAATCAGTACTCTTGAAATATAAATTAATAGATAATAGGATGCTTCAGATTTTCAATACTATGCAAGATCCTTAAATACAACACTGAGAACATCAACGCAATCACACTTGATAAAGAAAGTCTGGAAGGGGTGGAAAGTTTCACATATATGGGTAGCATCATCGATGAACGTGGAGATCTGATGCACACGTAAAGGCGATGTTTGAGAAAGCAAGGACAGCATCCCTAAAGTTGAACAACATTGGGAACTCAAAACAACTGTCAAACAATATCAAAGTGAAAACCTTCAATAAGAACGTCAAGATAGTTCTGCTGTACGGAGCTGAAACTTCGTGAACTACTACAACAATCATCAAGAAGATACAAGTATTTATAAACAATTATCTACGTAAGATATTAAATGTTCGTGGTCCGGATACTATCAGCAACAGCCTACTGTGGGAGAGAAAAAACCAACTCCCAGCTGAGGCGGAAATCAGGAAAAGGCGTTGAAAGTGGATAGAACACACATTAAGGAAATCATCAAACTGCATCATGAGGCAAGCGCAACTCAGAATCCTGAAGGGATACAAAAATGAGGTATGCCAAAGAACATATTGCGTTGGGAATCTCAAGCAGACATGAAAAGGATGAATAGCAACTGGGAACAACTGGAACGGATTGTCCAGGACAGGAATGCTGGTGAGCAGCCTATTCTCGTCCATGAGGGGTAACAGGTGTAAGTAAGTAATGTTAAATGATTTGCCGAAAAACCAAACAAATTCGTTAAATTTCAAATATTCTATTATTACTGATCGTTGTATTTGCATGATTTAATGATTTTTTGATTAACTAAAGAATTACAAAAGCTGTATAGTGATAACTACACATCACATGAATACATTAAAAAGTGACTGATCTATCAGTTTTGAGTACTTATTTACTGGTATATAGAATACTAATTTTTACACTAATATACAGTTACAGTAACAATGATATTCAATTATACAAGCTTGAATAGTTTACGAGCCCTCAATCATCTAAAATACAATTTCTGATATATTTCCATACGTAATCTGAAGTTTGTTTCCTGAATTACTAAGATTTCTAATAAAGTATAGTCACATTTCGCAAACTTTTGATTTGGTTATCATACTGATTTTATTATCAAATTCTTGATACTGTTAAATAAGATTATATCAGATTATTTTAAATCATACAAGTACCAGAATATAAATAGCTTATTATAATATAAGAAATTTTAAAATTTGCTCGATTTTCATTTTGTTTTGGGAGTGTTAGTTAATTGAATCAACACGGCTTTATGTATTTCATCTGAAGTATGCCACAAAATGCTCAAAGTTCCAAGGTTCTTTTCCTGAGTGTTAGTCTTATTTGAAATTCTTTATAATATGATGTGAATAGAGAAACAAAGAAGCCATGACAAACATTGGAAGTTTGTAAAATACTAACATTTAGTTTAGTCCCTAGCTTATTCTATAAAACATATGCCTTCGTTTGATGTATGATTCACTGATATACCCTTTTCTGTTCCAAAGCTAGTGTAATTTAAACATAACGTTTTGTTCCTTTTTTCTACCATAATGCTTGGTTTGGACATAGTTGTACTTTTCTAATTGTTTGGGCATTTTGGTCATGTTAGTCATCTATCTATTCATGTATGATTTTACGCTAATCTGAAACCAGGAGTTAGAAATAAATCGGGCAGTGTTCCAGTTGACTTGTCTTCCCTCTCGCTCTCACACTTGTCAACCGATTAGAACAGTTTTGGTCTCGTTATCCAAGGTCGTTAGTCTCAATTCGGACTCACTCATTTCTAGCCTTAAGGTAAAACCACTTAGCCTATCTTATCAAGGCCTTAACCTAGATCGAGACAAGTTCTCTCCTGTACATTATTGGGTAGACAGATAAAGGATGTGACAATATACCATATCTATCAGCTGCGTCAAATAAATGTATCCAAATGAATAATTTTGAATTTCCATGATTAAAACACAATCATAAACTTCACTACTCGACCAATAAAATGTATTCATTGTCAATTTAAGCGATACACAGTTTTTCCAAACAGCCTTGATATAGGAATTGTTATCTGAAGTCATAACTGTTTTAGTTTCCAATGGCTAAGATTGAAAGCTATTGTGACATAAAAACTGGATTTAATTCAATAAAGACAGAGTTCCCTTTGAACGACTATTAATTATTGTTCACCACTCTCCTTAGATTGCTTCGTTCTCAAATAAAGGTTTCAAATGTAAAGAGATACAACCCATACGTTTTGAAGAATATTGTTACTTTCAGTTTCTAAACAATATGCTTCAAAGTGATAAAAAGTCTTTAAGTTTTTCAATTCTTAAAATTTAGTCATCTGACATTAGATAAAAATAATCAGCATCTTTTCGCTCTACTAACTTTGAAAAGTCACCAATCATATACAACCGACCTCCTGAACTGCTTACTTAGGCTAAATTTTCTTTTAAATAAGTTGTAATTTAGACATTACGAATGGGAAGTATTATAAATTATTTTTTAATTTCATGCTAGTGACTACACAATTTAAAATTCAACGTGCATTTGAGGTTATTTGTTAAGAAGACGAGTGTAAATAATCATCTAGATAGCCTCTCATCATGTGACAGAATTTCACTCAATCGATATATACATAGGAAAATTAAGGAAGTTCAAGAAGGCATGAAAATTAATATCCTAAACCGTGAACGGGAAAACAGTATCTAAAGCAATTAGTCCCTTTTATAAATTTCGATAGAACAATGAGAAGACGGAGTTGATCAACTCCGTCTTCTCATTGTTCTATCGAAATTAGTATCTGAATTTTATACTACTTAAAATTAAATTAAGTAGAAACTCCCAAATAATCAAATTTTCTGATTTTGCTGTCAAATTACAGGAACAGAAACTTATGACCATTGAACCTACAAATGAACAAAATTATGTAAAACCCTCATTAGTTGGCTATATTCGTGTTGCATTACAATATAAAGAGCCAAATACTAATGGAGAAAGTATTAATAGTGAGTGACTATTTATCTACTTTAGTAATTGGATTACGTTATTAAATTATCCTTTATTTTTGCGTCGAGAAATTGTCTACTGAATGACTTTTCAAAGAACCATCCATTCGTTGTCATCACGTTTGATATTAATTAATGAATGCGGGTTATTAAAACAATTTAGAAAGCATAGATGATAGACCATTAAACCCCACATAGATTATTATCAGTTATCTGTGTAATGATAATTCTATTCAATCTTATCAAACTTGAAACATCCCGTTTTCAATTTTATTACGACAGTATCCCAACATATACAACCTATACAAATTTATAAAAACCTATAAACCTTGAACCTGTTGAGGACTAATGTTGAAACCAGTCTTTTGTTTTGCAGATGACTGGGTAACATTCGGTTGGACACAGATACACTGTTTTACTAAGAAAGACAACTCCAACTTTGTTAACGAAACTGGTTCAAAGGTAGGTGAATTAATTAAATAAATAATATTGATGCTAACTTAACTATAATTAGTTCAAAATTGATAGGATTGATTTATATTTGTCTGAAAGGTAAGTTGCTCAGTCCATAAGTCGTTATTGCATCAATATTTTCTGGAGTAAAAATACTTGACTGAGATGATTTAAGAAAAAAAGAAAATATACGTGTGTGATTTCTCTTAGTTCAAAACTAAATGGAAGGCAGTTCTATCTGACCTGATTTTTAAAAGTTATCCCACTCAATTTCATGAGTAAACATATCTAGGAAAATTTAAAGCAATATTTTTCTAAGACTGAAAATTAAATCTAAAACATGATGTGAGTGAAAAACAAATTACGAAAAGAGGTTTATCCGTTATCAAACTTACTTATTTCCCGCCAAATTAAAACTGGGATATAATTGGTAAACTTCACTTTACCTAGAGTTGTGCTGATGATATTTTTCAAAAGAACGATGAAAGCTTCACGACCGAACCTACCAGCGCAGAGAACAAAATCCCGCCTAAATTGTCCACCTGAGCTACAAATCTTCCCCACCATTTCATGAACTGAGACAAATCAACCCACCAGCATTCTGAATCTCACTGGTTCCTCAACTAATGTAATATCTTCTGATTAAACTTCCAAAATATTATTTAAGCAAGTTTTTAATTTAAAATCTACTTATTTCCACATAGGTAACATAATAATTATTTGAAGTGGGTACTGTAGGTAAAGATTATTCTGTATAAAAGATTAATGACTGTAAACAGATAAAGAAAATGCTGAAAAAATTTGTTATATAGTATGGTAGGGTTGACATTAAAACGATTACGGTACTTGTTATATGCTAACGAAGAATAAATGAATGGTAACTGCTAGGAATTATTTACAGACAGTTATTATACATATATTCTTACTGTATAACTATCAAGTAAATAGATTATATATAATTATACTCCACTTATCGTAAGCTCTCATTCGACTTATTGGCTATTATTATACGATTTACTATTGTTCCCGATTTATTAATTACAGTATGTCACACTCATAGCCACTTTTGACTTGCTCTTGTTTAATTGTAATTTTCTATTTTATGGTGCGATGAGGTCTGATTCGCTTGCATATAAACTGTTTATATCTGAAACACAATTTATACAGTGGAGCTGAGATTGTGTTCTGAACTTAACGGGCAATGTAAGTCAAGACAGGAGAAACCAATATGAACTCTGAGTTGACTCTAGGCTGCTCCTACTGGTCAACGAATCATTGGTGTGGCACAGCACCAAGGTCATGTAAGCCGGTATTTTAATTGGTGACCTTGTCACGTGATAACAGGGCAAAAGATATAACAGTTCTTTTCTTACCTAAAGATAAATTTCGAAGTTGTGATCATAAATATTTCAATAATAATCAAATTTACCATCTCTAAAATAACTGATATTATTGAGGAACAGGTTCGAGGAGAGCAAAGCGGACAGATGTGAAAATTTCTCCACTAATGCAGGGTCATTTGTAAATAATAGATTTAAATTACAGATATTTTGATGTTGTTCCATCTCTTATTTCGTGTCAAATATTGTCTATATTTGTGAATAATTTATGCCCAATAAGAAGTTTTATATCTGTTCACTGTGACATTGTGTCGGCAAATCAAGTTAATATGAAGAGTTATCACTTAGGCACAAATTTATTTCATTTTATGTAATCTAACTTGTAAATCTGCTTATAAATCCATAATATTTCCTAAATTATATGATTTTCCGGTTGTATCTTTAACAAATAAACCATTCAGACTATATCTCAAACTAACGTAAATACCTACGTACAATAATCGTATTTTCAGATTTATCCATATAAATTATGGACACGTGAGGTTATCAATCCAATTGAACAAGGTACCTATCCAGAAATATCATATGATTCTTCATGGACTATGGATTATTTATTAATTCCATTCAATTATTTATTTTATCACTTCTATTCATTACCCATCATAGAAACAGATAATTATATACGTAAGTTAACTATGAGCAGAGTATAACACAATCAGTTTTTTTACACTGAAATTATCATATTAAGAACCATGAATACTTTTGTGATAGAAATATGTGAAGTTTGTTAAGGTGGAAATATATCTATAGTAAAAATAATTATCTATACAAAGATAAGATTTTTGTAAAGAGAAGCAATGAGGTTTAGAGGTATCTTAATACTCGGAAAACCAGATTGTTTATACGAAACAAATATGAACCATTTTAGTTTGATTTCTTGCACTCAATATACTTTTTGTTTAATCTCGTTGAAGTACATAAATATAAAATATAAACAGAATATTCATTCAACGCTTTGATTCTATTTTACGAAGGAAATTTAATCTCAAGGCATTGGGACTAACACAACCATGGGCTGCATGGCAGTGTTCATTTAGAAGTTTTATATCATCAATGATAAGATTAAGAAAAAATACATGCAAGAGGATAATATGAAATCATGGAATTATAATTTAGCTTCGTTATCATTGACCATTGAGACATTCTCACTCTTGTGGATAGTGATAGTTTCTTAGATATTTGAACAAGAGTAAAACAACAAGTCACGAACATCACTCATTAAATGTTTAGGTAACAACTTCTATGTTAGAAAATACTGAACAGTTAATGTTACAACCCAAAATATTTACCGAACTTGGTCTAAATAACTATAACTATCCTTTAAGTTGAAGTCAACATTAAAAAATGTTTTAAGATATTAATACTGTGACATTGCATTAGAGCGAAGAATTAATGACAACGATTACAACCAAAGATGAAACAGTATGGTCATTTTAAAATATCTTAGCTACAATATATTGATATGTGTTCACACTAACTTATAATTAACTTCGTTTCTATAGTTGTAAAAAATTATTTAAAATGTTAATCTTGTAATAGCTTCGTATGTCAATTGCCCTGATTATCGTTAGTACAATAATTCCAAATGGTGTACAATGTCCAGAGAATTGTTGTAACAGTTTAATTTAGCACACCACAAATGCGCAAGTACATAGTGTGAGAGATGAGTTGACGAATTAAATAATAGACTTTACCTAGGAAATATATATAAACATGAAAATGAGTCATTTAGAGATTTAAGCGGGTAGGCGTAATACATCACATCCACTCAATCATCCATATTCATACAAAAATGAAAATATATATGTAAAGATCAAGGCAAATTCTAACTAACATCAATAACACTGTTTGTTAATTAAAGGACTAAATAAGTTTCAACAAACACGAACTCAACTGTGTGATTGTAGCTGCTAACATTTTATAATTACCTAACGAAATAAAACAAATGCAGGTCATCCACCTCAAATCTTTCGTCCCTCTCTTTCCCAAGTTAGTGGAGGAATCTATGTACATAACAGAGTTTTATTGTATGTTAATTATAACATGACCTTCTTTTATGATGAGTAGATGGTTTAAGATATGGACGTCTGAAATCAACTGTGTCATAAAACCGATAATATTTTATGAGTCTTATGCGTCAAGTTGTACATTCTTTACAAAATGTATGAAAATGTTTAGTGATTATTTAATACTGTTAGATTATTCCAACGTGTGTCAGAAACGTTACTTAAAATGTATATTAATTAGATGTCAATACTAGTAAACGTATAGGCTATAAACATGTAATAAATACATACGAATATAATAGAACTCCCATTAATTCAAAACCATATAAACGTTCAAAAATGTAAAAAGACTATTTTGTTTTTACTTTTTAGCACTCCAACTTCTACATGGGTCACGAATCTCTCTTCGAGTTTATAACCCTAATATTGAAGTAGTACCGAAAGTTATAGAACAACCAACTATCTATATAACTAGATCAGTTCAAACTAAGGTGATATATAGAGAAACAGTAGATATCGAAGATTCTGAATATCTTCAAGAAGAACAAATTATAGACCAGGAAGTCGAGTAAGTAAACTGGATAATTAATTCACAAATTGTATTACCTGTTAGTCAAAGTTATAAAAATGTATTTGTATTCAGAAAATCTGTGTGATATTTTGATGTCGTATTTCTATACATTAGAGATGAATAAAATTTTCGTATAAATAATATTGTATATTAGAGTACAGCCTGATGACGATCTAATTGAAAACAATTGTTCGCTTATATGTGTTGTTCATATTATAGTACTTTAATAGTGGAGTTCATGAGTCATTTGAAGCTAGACCACCATGGAAAACCTGAAAGCACTGGACGTCTGTTACATCCTACTGTGGGACTCCTCAGCAGTGCGCATCCACGATCCCGCGCCGCAGGATTCGAACCCAGGGGCCTGCCGGTCTCGCGCGTGAGCGCTTAACCTCTAGACCACTGAGCCGGTATCGAAGTTAATTTTTGACATTAAATAGCACGAGAAATACAATAAACCTGTAATTTTATAAAACTTTGTGAGAATTGTACAATATCAGAAGTGATTGATGTTAAGAACATTGCCTTAAGAATTTCAAACAGTTTGTCTAAATATATCACATTCGGTTCCTGCTTTGGAGGTCCTCTAATCTCTCATGTTTTGTGTCGTGATTGCTCAACAATGAGTAGTTCCTAATTAGCTTGAAAAAGTTATTTAGTGCCTCGTGGTTTCAAATGGTTCTTTTATTGATGTTCGTATGTAAATGCAATTATCTACCAATGGTAACAAGGGTCAATAATATTAGTAGCTACAGTGAAATGGATAGGTATGGTATTGTTGGCACAAAACAGAAATCTTTCATGAAGAGGATGGAAGCGGGTATAGAGATGAGAAATGTTATGACTTAAGAAGCTATTCAGAATTGGGTAATAAATTTGGCAGTCAGAATTATGATTAGAATTTTTTATCACGCATTTACCATTCATTCCATAGTCTAACCGCATAATTATACTTTCTGACTTGCATAACTAACTTTAAGCTATCGTGAGCTTCACTCCTATTAGCCTGTCTATTCGCAAGTACTCCTCCAACTGCCAGTCTGGAGTCCAAAGAGAAGTCAGAAACAAAGCTTCTACTATTACTATATTTCAACCAGCAAGCCCAGCCAATTAATGCAGTTAACAACCTCCTCAAACACTCATTAGCTTATATACATGAATTTTCAAACCACGCAGCACGGCAAATAGGAAATCGTACTTTAAGCACAACCATGGAATATGGAATATATGATAGAGAGCAAAGCCAACAGTACATAAATATTTAGTAAAATTAAGGAATAGTGAAATAAATAGAATATCATAATATGAATCTCCAAAACTAACGCTGGTAGATCAGAGTACACTTACCAATTAAATATTATCGATTTCACGAATCAAGCTCGAAGATATCTTACACATTTGTATGCTACCGTTTAAGAGTCTTTGAAAATCAGGAAAAACTAAACAACCATTTCCATTCAACTTGTGTCCCCTTACCAAAACCTTGCCCATAAGTCTGATAATGCTGTTGTCTACTTCAGGGAAATATAAAGTAGAACGAGATATCTTGGTAGTGCTTTGATCATGTAGAAAACTACTTTCAAACCATGTACGTATCCAAAAAGCCTATTAGGAAATAAAAATTAGACGTTTATTTACCAAAACTAAACGTAAAATGAAAGAGTATTTCTAATACTGTTGTCTAGTATGAATAACTTTGGAAAGAATACATCAATACTTTTTTCAAATTCATCATACAGGAAGTAAGCGTTTTACTCATTATAGCTTTTACAGTTTTTGATTCTACTGAACTTACTTCGTCGATTTTATGTATTTTATTAGGGATATTGAAGAATTAAGTCCACCAGCTACTCCAATCGAGGATCTGTGGGTACCTTTCAAAAAGCTTGCACCATACGAAAGATTAATGAAGCCATCTTCAACATCTGAACCATTTTGTATTTATGTTGATCAATTACGCTTCATGCCAGATAACTCGACAATTTTTAAGGTAATCTCCAGTTATACAATCTATGTATATAAATATTTAAGAACAATCTTTGTGCTACTGACAATAAGGGTAATTCAATATCAGAAACATATGTGCAGGGTAGATAAAATAGACAGAAGATCAGATGATCCATTTTTTAAAAAAAAATATATGGTGGTGATAGTCTAGCAAGACACGGAAAGGATTATGATTAAATTATCCGGTTTGTATACACAATACCGCCAAAAATTTTCTATTGAATTAGCAGTCTTTTAAATCATCTCATAGTCTTTAGTTACAGTAAAAATAGAGATAGGCATTCAGCTTCATTGTTCATTTTTTCTAATATCAAGTAATAAGGACGAAAAAGACCTAATACAATGATTTCTACAAGTTGAAATTTATCAGCAATGATTTGCTGAAATCTCAGTTATATTTTCTTGGTATATTACTTACAAAATAAAGTCTAACACCTAGATGTAATATTCTACTGTCTAATTGTCATTACTACATTCACGAACAACCAACTATGTGAAGGAAAAAGAGCGAGATCAAGAGTGAAGCTTTATTATCGAAAGACAAATAATAAATTTTATAAATCACTCATATTTATATATTAGTAAATTAATAAGAACTCAAGTTTAATGATTTGGGTTAGAAGAATAATTCCATAGCTCATTATAAACCAGTCACAACTATCTCCTACCAAGTAGGCTTTACCTAATATATTATATCTATCCAACATTGCCGATTATGTCATCTAGCTGATATCATTATACTATTGTTGGAACATGGAAAATTATTTCATAAACTTAATAGTCATCAAGTAACTAATCTAAATATTCTCCAACTTTAATTTTTACAAACAATAAGATTTGTAAGTCATTCCGAGATTGCATAATATAGTAATAAACTCCAGAGTTTCTCTTTTGCCACCACCCAGTGATCAATCAATTGTAATGTTAAAACCATATCCTTCTATCTTCAAACTTGTATTAAATTTTTATTTACAGGTTACTGGTCGGTTATTAAACACAAAGTATGATGAAGAACTATCGGACATCTTAATAGTACCAGAAGAAAGTATTGAGATAAGAGAGACTAGTAGATCACCAGTTTTTTCTCCAACTCAACGTTTTATTGTTAATCTTAGTCAAAGCAAAACTTTATCCCAGAACTCTTTACTATTTCTAAGAGTGTATACACTTACACTTACAAATCTAGAATATGTAGTTATTGGAAACGTTCTGCTGAAGTTATTCAATTCAAATGTAAGTTTTGTTTTATTTCATTAAGAAGCAAAATTATACAATCTATAGTTAAGTATTTCGCTACAAAAACAACTGAATAATATGAACTATTGAAAGCTAAACAATCAAAGTTGAGAAAGACTTTACAAACAGATTTAGTGTAAATAAAAACGTAAGAGTTTAACATTGTTGAATATATTAAATTCAATTATGTATAAGTGAAAGGTAGTAGGCTTAAACTGGAAGTGTAAACATATTTCTCCATGAATCCTATAAGCTGTTTAACTGTATCAAAGTTGTCATGAGATTGATTTTGAAAACTTAAAATAAATAGGAAATAATTTTATTGTAGACAATATTAATGTTATTTGTTATGTTGATTATAGGATGTAAGCATGCATTTCTGTTTATGAATAAAACGATACTGAGTTACTTAGACTGGTGGTCATATTGCAACCTTTTTGATGGAATTCGATCAACACTAAGAAAGATTGGACATACATAAGATACTGGTCTCTATCCAGTTATCAATCAATTGATATAAAGTCATATTTAGTATTGCATCCAACATTTGGTAAATTAGCATGACTTTTTGCAATTTTAACATTATTTAGTGTAACTACGATTATCTTGTTGAATAACATTCGTTACATCAACGTTTAATTTGTTTATCAGATCGTAGTTTCATTTAGATACAAAGTTGGCTCCTACTATGAACGCATAAATACTACATACTTTCACAAAAGTAAAAACTGAAAAGACCTTATTTAAGTCAATCTATTCCTAATATTTTGCTAACTCAGTGAATATTAGGACACTGATCTGATGCAATGAATCAGTTAAGCAACAAAAGGTGGAATAAAAATGTATCAGTTTGATTTTTAAAAAATATTACAATAAATCTGTAGAATACAATCCTATAAAAGTAGTGGATTTGTCCATTCTAATAGTCCTCTTTTGTGGTCAGTAATTCTGTTTGATTAATTTATTTTCTGACTTATACTGAATGGTTTATGCGCCGTTGTTACGAACTCATTCAGATGCTACCGTGTAATGTTTATTTCACGGACAGATATCAAAGGCTTTAAAAGCTATTCGTTATTAGTTTGTGGTTATTAAGCAACCGCTCAAACAATTTGATCAAATCATATCTTGTGTTTACTTTAAACATCTTAAATCCCATGAAGAAGAAACGTTTTAGTACAACATACAGCGGAAGTAACATATGGAATCTGACCGTGGTGAATCGATGTATACATTACCGAAAATCCTTATGAAAATGAAGACTGTGGCTAAACTACCGACCGCCAATTATATTTTTGTATTGAACACTGTTGATCATAGAATAACTTAAGGTTTAAATTAGAAATTACAGACCAAATTAGGTTGAAAAGTATTTGAAAATGTGTCATTGATAATCCTATCAAAAACATTGAAGCATATATATAATTTAGTGTTTTACGATGCACATAAATTATTAAATGATAAACATATTCTATACAGTCTTTGATTATATTCTGTTTATTTCTGAGTTTGATTCTCAACTTTAACACAGGGTCTACTTAATATTGGTGGGCATCAACTAAGATTGAGATGTGAAGTACCGAAACCAATATCTCAGAATATGAATAATAATGAAGTATTTTATCAAGATGATTCATTAAATAATGTACCTTATATACATTGTTCAACAATTCTTGTTCGTCTCTTACCTTATACAGAGGTAATCAGTAACCTATATTTTTCTCACAATTCATTTTGTTTTGAACATTATATGTGTGTTTTTCCTTAGAAGCAAGTGTTTTAAACTATGAAGCATCAAAAGGGTCAAATAATTCAAAATGTATGTAAATAACAATGTACTGTCCTTAATTATTTTTCTAAAAAATGTTTTATGTATTTTAGGAGCCTTTACTTCAACCGGAATACAGATTTAGATCATATCGTTCAGCTGAATCGACTCCGACAAACTTTGAATGGGTTGTATATCGTCAACTTCATTCTGATGAAAATAGGAAAACAGACATACGCAGTATGGTGAAAATGATTTTACGGCGTGAGGGTGAATTCGACAAATCTTCAGGTAAATATAAATAATTAAATAATAATCTCTGATAAACTCATTAATATTTCTATTCCTATGAATAACTTAATTTTTAAGACATTTAGTTTTCTGTTTGAAAATTAATTGTGATGAAATACAGATCACTGATTAGTTAGAAAAAATGTGATTCATCAATTCATCTTACTTATATAATAAACCGAATAACTTATTGTTGCTATATCTGTGTTCCGTAACCGTTGGCACGGTTTTGCATGTGTTACTCTTAACATGTAATTATCGCCTCTGTTGTACCGCTGTCATACCGTAGTGAATGTGAACACAAGTGGGTACAATTGAATGCGCTTAAACACAATATTACAGAATATCTTAATACAATCTGAGAACCATACATTAAATACTTGATTTGCAAACTGTCAATTAATTGTCTCAAACTTGATTGTTTTTTTCTAAATATCTGTTAATCGTTTCAGACTTAATTATTCTTTTATTTCCACACTAATCGTTTTCGTTCTCTTTTCTCTGATCTTTTTAACTTCTGCAGCCAGACATTTCAATTTCAATTGATGATACATGCTACTTATATTTATCGACATTAGTAGCACACACCACAATACTGATTATACCTGAGAAACGGGATTTGCTTTAACTCCCATGACTTGAAATGCGAACACAAAAGTTGGTACAAGATTTATCAACTCTTCAAAAGACGACTCCATAACAAGTCGTCATTTAAAATATCTAAAACGATTGTTACTTATGTAAAAACTTGAAATGTAAGCTCATGACACCATATTCACAGGAATATTTGTTTAAATAGTTATCATTTTCAAATACATTTCTGGTTGACACATAGGATTAGCTAAATTGTTCAGTCTAAGTTCTTAGACCTTCAATACTATTTCCAATAATCAACAGTGTATAGAAAACTTCAAATATTTTCCAGTGTTTTTCTTTTTTCATAACTTGAAATCATCTAGAACAAAATGACTTCTTAACTCCTGATTATCTATATCGTTACACACTTCAACGATTGTCAATTAAAAGAAATATAACTACAAATGGTATACCAAACCAAATGATTTCAGCGTTTCCATTTTTCTATCGTGTAAATGACGGTTTTCTGTTGAGTTTAAAGAACGTTAAGGGTTTGACAGTAAAAGGTAAGCTACAGACTTATTTTATGTTAAATTAAAATTAAGTGTATATCTATGTTCTGGAAAAGAATCTACGTAATCTAACTTAAGAATAATCTTGTGACACTTTTTTATTTGACATGAGATTAAAGCTTAACACATTTCGTTTCTCCATAGTTTATATCACGAACTAATCTTAGTTAGGCTACCATTGAATACCTGGAAGCATTGGACAATTGTATTGTCCTAGTATGGGACTCTTAGACGAATATTTGTAGAAATTTCAGTAACTGAAATTGAAAATCTGCGATAGTTTGTCTAACTGTTTAGTTATAGCTTCATTAAGGGAGATAGTCATAACAATTATTGATATTGGGATGAATTGAATTCATTTAATTTTGTGTAAGACACATAAAGCAATTTATTGCATTAATGGTGACTATTAATAATTCATTTCCTTAACCACGCAACGTAATCATATGTGGTCTGAAACTATGATCGAGAGCATAATATTAATCTTTTATATGATTAAATTAAAAGAAATACATAGCAACGAATTGGAGTGAGAAATAAGTGAAGATACACGCTGGTATGAACGGATACATTTAAAATGTAAATCATTAATTCAACAAAGAAACCTCTTTCAAAGAGTTCTTTCTCGAATCCGCACAATTTCGCATACATGAATATATACGTCTGTAAACAAATGGTGCTTGTAGTAGATTTCTATTTCCCCATTGTTAATGCTAAGAACTGCAACTGATTATTCTCGGTTAGGGTATGTGAAACTTTAGTTAATTATTCTGATACCCAACTAGCTGATCAACACAATCTGATATACTCGGACAAGAATAATGAATGCTAACTGTTGGGATCCATCTATGAACTAATATTATGCATGTATTTTTATTGCATAGTTGTTGAATAACTAAACAACGCATATTCATGTTCCGCTCATTATAAGCTTTATTTTGACCCATAGACTATTGTTAGACGATTTACTGTTCGTAAGTTATGTTCAGTCACTCAATTACTATCTCTCACATTCACAGCCACGTTTGGCTAGATCTTGTGCAATCGTTATTTGCTATTTTATAGTGTGATGTGGTCTGTTTGGTTTGCACATAAACCCAGTATGTTTGAAATACGTGATTCATTTAGCGGAGGGTGAGATTGGTGTTCTGGACTCAACAGGCAGGACACGGCAGAACGAAGAACAGATAAAGACTATAGATTGCTCGTACGGGTTTATGCGTTACTGGTCCGGTCGATAAGTTACTGTTCTCTAATTGGCGGTATCATTAAGTTATATACTAATAGGGAACAAAACAACAAGTTATAACGGTTACGTCATTCAACTGTCTAAAATGAATTTTTAAAATCCTCTATTGAAAACAATTAAGTTAAATGGATTGGTCTGAATGACTTTCACGACTATTTAGGCTGCCCCATGAATGCCAAATATAAACTTAAGTTGACATTTAGAACATACGTTGATGACAGAAAGCAATAGTCAAACTCATGTAAAGAGTTCAAATTCACAGGCTGACACTATTCAATATATTTATTGTGACTTAAGCCTATGTTTATGATATATATATATATATATATATATATATATATATATTCAAGTTTAGTACATCAATATCCATCACCATAATTTCATTTAGAAGGAGATTATATTTTTGGTTTGGCTAAAGTTATACGAGGCTCTGATACTAGTCTTAAGCCAGTTAACAAATTTTATGGTTTTGGCAGTGATGATGATTTGTTATTCGACAGATTTGATTCAACAATGTCTCTTGAAAATCCTAAATGGGAAGACGCACCTCAAGTAAGTATGTAATAACTTCATATAAGCCTACGTAAATTTATTCTTCTCTGGATAGCATATGATAAATGTGTCACGTTTATTTTATACTTATTCTCAAAATTAATTAGGCGCATCTACCCATTTACTTTTCTTCTAGTTAAGCTCGTCCGTGTATGCTTGTCTGCACCTATCTCGTAAAAATCTTATATATTGCTCATTAAAACTATATAATCTAAGACAAATCCATTCAGTGATTTGGCTAGTGATCAATCCAAGCTACATTCACATAAACATTCTTTCCTCCCATCATGTATGAAATATACATATCCTCAACACGTTTTGTATCAAACTTTTAAATATCCCGTTAAGTGCGATTATATAAGAAGTGAATTGGAATCTATGTTTATTTGTAGCCAGATGCACTGGCACATGTATCACATCATTTCTCGTATTCTTCATTTCTATTTAAATTAAACATTAAAACAGTATGTAAAATTATGTCAGGAATAATTATTAAAATAAGAGATGAATTAGTTATAAAACAAAACTATTTTATATAAGCGACAGCTAAGAGTAAAGAACATACAAGAGAACATTTTATTTTGATAACTACTTAGACCCTAATTTTATAAAGTTGTAAACATCATTAAAATAGTGCAGAGTATAAATGTAAACGCTTTTAAAGGACTCTTCTGTCATATACATCGAAAATAGGGTGTTTCTTATACATTACGCTTTAAACACATCAAAAAGTGTATCATGACCAAAGCTAAAGGGTCATAAAAAGGGATTAGAAAAAACACTGTCAAGTAATGGATTACAATCGAGTTAAGGATGAATGGAAAAAATATTACCTCAGGGTCATTCACACAATTAAGGGTGAAGCAGAGAGGAGAAAGACAGAGTATAGATAAACAAGAAAATTGAATTCGGAATTCGCCATATGCATTTAGCTTGACAAGTAAATTACAGAATTAAACAGTTTCTGAAATTTATAATTGATTTTCCCAAATTACCCTATCGTAATTCTTTCACTTTGATTTTTTTAGCTTACTAAACCATACTACGATTCTAATGCATTATTAATCATACAGATATTTAGAGTGCCTTTAGTATTCACTATTGGTGGATCAATAAGTATAACCAAATCAGGCAACTGGTTCATTCCACAACTGGTTTCTCGAAAACCAAACAAACAACAAATCACTAAATTACGAAGGATTCACTTGGTTGGTTGGTCGTTCTTGCGTCTATTTGATTGGTAAATAAATATCTCATACTATTTAGTCACTATCCATTGTACATTTCGTTTTTTTAAATAGTGAGGAGGATTTACAGCTTAGACGGATTACTTTAATGTTGTATCGTCTTCTTAGCTGTATATTTTAGTCGTGAAGGTCATACTGTTCTGCTGAACTACATCATCAGCATAAATTTTAGGTAGAATCAAAGTATTCAAATTTCTTCACATATCAACCTTAAACTTGATTGGTTATTGTTGAACTTTAACCTTCCCTTGTCTACATTCATGATTGAGAATATTTTACTTCCGTTATGTTTGGTTCTAGTTAAGAAGTATGGTAAAGATGAAATATTCTATTTAAAACAGCTCAATACACTTTCAATAACAGAATTTAAGTTGTACGCGTAACTCAATTTACTCAACTATAATAAATAGAAAAATTAAAAATAAGAATTTTGAATTGTGAAATAAGACAAAGACAATATGGGTTGAAAGCGACTGTTTTTCAGAAGTAGGCTTACTTGGGTCACCGTTTTAACTACAATTGACTTTTTATCTTCCATTAGTTAAAAAATTAGTATTTTAAACAAACTATAATTATAGGGCAACCCATAGTCTGAACATTTTAAGACAAGAAAGATATATAAAGAAGCATCATTGTACTACAACTATTCTTATAAATGTATTGTTAATTATGATAGAAATGGAAAGAACAATGACTGGAGTAGTGGCTAATCCGACAATTAACATCTGTGAAGTGATTGTATAGTAGGTTGAACCAGAGACTTAGGAGATAACTGAGACTGAAACTGATATCTGACACGGCTTAACACAACGAAAAATACGAACAGTGTTGCAAGATAAAGATCTTTTTGACCATCCAAAATAAAAAATCTCATTTTCTTAACTAGAACACTCGCTCATTTACAAATTTATTTGCATTGATTATTCGTTACGGAAAAGCACAGAAAATTAATGCAAAACATAAGTTAGGGTGACTTGATGCAAATGAAATATCATACTGAAATAATATAAATTTAATTGTTATACAAATGAATTGTTACACTAAACAAAAATTGTATGATCTCATACTTGATCTCTTCCCAATGGATTGTAAAGATGTTTAGACAGAAATCTGAACATATATAAGATTATTGTCCAAAAGGTACATAGACTTAGTCGGCAATCTGAAATTCTAAAGAGAGCAAGAACAAAGATTGGTGCAGAATATCAATTCATTTTATTTCGTTATGCTCTTACCAGCTGCTTACAACCTAAAATATTTGAAAATCAACGTTATTACAGATATTGACATAAGAGGGTGATTAAGGATGAATATATGTATCATGATGTAGCGAAGATTCTGTTAGAGTTAATGAGGTCATAAAATTTTTGTTTCGAATAAATAAAGTTCCAGAGGGAAGGTTCCAGAACATTGGAATAGTGATTAGAATTCATGGAATTAAAAACACATTAGATTATTATGTAATGAAGTAACTGAAAACAGATCATTGGTAATAACGAGAGATCTGAATTGAAATCAGTCACTTATGAATGGTGTAATTTTAAAATTCAGAAAGAGTTGGAATAATGGATGACGCAATGAATAAATAAATAAAAATGGGGGGGGGTAATGTTACCAGGGCAAAGAAAGATTTATTACTGTTTCTTTTTTTATACAAAGATCTGGTTTTAGACGTTTGATTACTATCGCTTCGGCGAATTTCAAAAGGTTTGAGTTTGATTGTTTGTTAGTCACCTTGAAGGACTTTAGTGTATCGACTTCGTGTCATGTGTCAAGGAGATGTCTTGCGATGGCACTGTTGAATGCTTTTAGTCCGTTTGATCTTAAATTCTTCGTAATAAATTTTTTGAATCGGACGTAGGCTCTCCTTTCTGTTCTACAAATGTAACTGCTTTGGCAGATACATGTAAATTTGTATACACAGTTGGTGGTTACATGAAAGGGATACCTGTCGACCTTTGATTGTGTCGAAGAACATGTTGTTTAGGACAGGGCAATCAATTTAGCTTCAGGATGAGTTCTTGTCAACGCAGTTTTTAGTCTCCTATTGATTGACCCTGTGACATTATCACCTTTGAATATGAGTTGAATGAAAACAGGTTTTTTATTTACTGTAGTTTCTTTGGGTATTTTATCTTCACGTTTTCCATATTTCTCAATAATTTTAATGGGTATCCATTATTCCTTAAACACTTTTTAACATTCATAACTTCCTCTTCTATTGTATCAGCAGTACATACTCTTTCTGTTCTGTAAAAGTGTTTTGTCAAGTGCCCTTTTGTAATTGATTGGACAAAAGCTGTTGAAATTGAGATAAATCCCATCCCATGTGTCTTTTTTATAAACTCAGCGTTGAACTGTACCATCCTTTCTTCGTTTTATCGCGATATTGAGAAAATGGAACTTGTTTTCTTTTCTCTGTTCCATAGTGAAATGGATATTTGGATGAGCTTCGTTGAAAAATTCTAGCAGATTCGCTGCATGTTGTTGGTTATTACATACGATGAAGGTATCATCAACATACCTCAAATAATATATCATTTCATCAATCGCTCCTTTGAGCTTGGTTATTTCGAGGTTAGCCATGAAAATGTCTGCTAGGACCGGACGTAACGGTATATAATATTGTTGAATTGGAACGGAACATCTTTTATACACATGAGTAATAGTAGTTTGAATTATGTTGCTGGCATAGGTAGGATGTCAGTATGCTGACAATTTATGTCTATGGTTTCAAGAAGTGGTATTTTTGTAAACAATGATGTTACCTGAAATTCAGAAGACATTTAAATCTAACTATGTAACTTGATGAAAAACCAAATTAAATTACGAATACTCATTTTTAGAATATGACTTTTAATGTTGGGAGTGTATAAAACACCGTTCAGCATTTCCAGGTTTACCATAGTGGTCTAGCTTTAATTGACTCATGAATTCAACTATTAAATTACTATAATATTCACAAAACCCCTTACTGATGCTAATCTTTCTGTCAAAAAAACTTCATTATCTTTTTATTGGGATTAAATTGCTTAATATTTTTAGGGGTTTTTTACGTAATGGAACGCATAAACTTTGTCTTCTTAAACCTCCAATTCGTCTACGAACATTAGATAAGATACAAAATAAAGATGAAGAAAAGTCAATCATGCTAAGATCAGATAGTATTCTGGTAAGTGTTTGGAATTTATGAATATTAATATGAAGATTATAATACGAAGTGTATGTTCAATTTATAACATCAGTTACTAACTGAGAAATAGTATCAATTATGTGGTGTTAGTAGTCTATAATTCATTAAAATTCCCCCAAATTACGTAGTCACACCATGGATCGATTATTCAAACTTATCTGATTCTTTGCTTTGCATATGGTCATTGAGTGATTGGATTTCTTTGACTGGAAACAGCTTTTGTGGAATTAAATTTAATATATAGTTAAACTGCCAGACAGCAATAACCACCTGGACACCATTGTTAATCGTAATCCAAATGTAATAAAATTCATAAATACAAGGTGACATTAGGCCATTCCCTTAAGGATGCACATATACTTAAAGAAGCTGACCAAGAGTAGTGTTTAATATCAACAATCAGAAATCTCAGAACCTTACATACATAAATTCATACACGCTAAATAAAATGTTTATTAGGTAATGTGTTGAATTTCTTAGTGAGATACTGGGTTCAATTCTTGGTGTTAATGTCAGGGTTGGGATTCAAGTACATCCAGCTGGTAAGTACAGAACAAAACGTATATTCTCGACTCCACTTCTAGTCACAAGCCAAATATAATGATACTGGACAGTTTAAAAGTGATGTTACTAGGTGAATATTGAAAGCAACATAGTCAACCCCATCTTCATACCTAAGCAGACTTTCTAGAATTTTTCAATGAATAGAGAATATACCTTCACATCAGTAGTAAGCAAAGATGAAACTCCTAAATCAAAATTTAGGCAAGATTTGATCAAATTTTTGTCGTGAACTCATATCGGTTTTTTGTTTTTCTTAGGAAAATGCAAGTCTCACTATACAGTTACAAAGTGCTCGCTTTCTAGATTTTGCTGAAGAATTAAAAATAGATCAACAGGTGAGTCTATTATAGAAGGAGAAATTGGATACAAAACAGATTCTCTGTTACCATTATTTTTGAAAATAAATTTAAATCGTTTCACTATTCTCTAATTATCATTGACATACACTATGAACTAAACAAAGATTATTGAAAACAATTATAATATTAGCTATTAAGAAATAATGAGATTGTTCTAGCTGATCCGTGATCATAGATACCTACTCATGAAAGCCTCAACCTTTAAAATTAGACTTCACTAACATTTATTTAACGGATAAATTTATTGACCAAACTTTTCTTTAATAATATGGTTACTATCGTACATTTATTTACTTTATGCTAAAAAGCGCACACATACCGCACAATTAATCGTTTTACAACTATTCATAAATGTTTACTTTTGATTACTCAGCCATATTATTCTCATATTCCAAACAACGAACATGGTACAGTAGACGAACATGAAAATGTTAATCAACAAATGAAAGAGTCTAGCAGGACTAACTTAGATTCCATGGCGGAATTCAGAGCTAAATCTGATACAAATTGGCTTCAAAAAGGAGAAATTGGAAGTGAAAAACTTTACACAGAAATTCATGAGTTTCTCAAGAATCAAGTGGTAAGTTGGTACTACAAAATATTAAGTTATTGAAGAGATCAACTAATTGTGAATTATACTCCATGATTTGATGAGAAGAAATATAGGCCAAGTTGGATTTGGTGAATTTTAATGTTGTATCGTAAAAGCATTCACTGAAATACACATTGGCTAAGTTAAAACGGAATTAGTTAAATTAGGTGATAAGCCAGCAGTTCTATGAACTAAGTAAGAGAATGAAAGTGCAGTAGTGTGAAACTAATTAAATAACAGAAACTTAAGATATGAACAAGATGAGAGGATACATACAAGAGGTTAATATTAGCTATTTCATGATTGATAATTGAATTATTGTTCTTCCTTCAGACACTGAAATCTCTGTATTTTTATCCATATGGTTAGTTCTACTTTTTATGGGAGCTTTAAAGCTTTTTTCAGGTTTCTATTAACACACCAGATTGTTTGAGATTGATGATAAATGTTTGCCTCACGATAAGTTTAAACTGTGGAAATAAATATATGCAAATACATGCTTAGAATTTAAACATGTCACTTATTCGAGAAGCAGTGAATATTCAGCAAGTCACATGAAAGCACAAGACCTAGCGTTTTCAGATTTCATAACTTATCACTCTACTATGTGAGAAAGCTCAAATAAATCATGTTTATGTAATCTTCTGAAAAATATTAAAAGTCAGCTACTTTTGCTTTCAGTCATGAGAATTTTTTTATCGTCGAGTATTCTGTTATAATTACAAAAACATCCTACTCTTATCTTGTAGGCAAGTTGTTCATCAAAAAAAGAATACATGCCATTATTTTTTTCTCGGCTATAATTATAATGAATATAATGAAACTCGACCATTAAATGTATTCTGAATAACATATGTAATTTTAATAAAATACATTGAATAAATTACTATATAAAAAAGTCAACTGTTTTTGATATTCTAATAAGTTTTGAAAATCTTTAGATCTTTGATTATAGTATCAGTCAAGTATTCAGACGAAAAGACTATAATTTATGGACAAATCAATGAAATTAAGGATAGCACGTTTCCCAGTTTTGCGGAAACTTCATTCATTCATGTATTCAAACAGCATTCCGGGATTATAGCTTATGTCAGTTCGTGATGAATAACCTTGTTTTAATTCCTCACCCTAAACTAGAACTCTTTATCCTAAGCCTAATTCCTGAAACAAATTTATAACCCTTTCTCACCCTAGTAAATAGGTGAGCTGTATCAAGGTCACTTTAGCGTCGTTCAAAGGTTGTACGTACATTATAGTCTCCCAAATAAGTGTTTACGTAAATACTGATAGTCCAGTTTGTTAGAAAGTTTTATTTTGATAGTTTAACTAGTTAAAATGTTTCAAAGACACGGTTCAGTGTAAAAACGCCAAGGACGAATACAACTGCGAAGTCTAGACACAGAACAAAATAGATAGTTATTTCGTTTGACTGAGTTATCAGTGGCATTTCAACTGACAACAAAAACAGAGTATAAGGAATGGAGTAACTTCATTTCACTTGATGTGTTTAATTAAACTTGCAAGAAACCAATGACGTATATGAATCAAACGTCATTATTGCTGTGACATAAAGTATTAGTGTTGTGTTGAGTACATCATTAAAAAGTAATTGCTAAAAAACCAAACGTTTACCATAACTACAAGTTATGTCGGGAATAATGAAGCGTTTGTAATTATTACAGTTACATTTGATGAATCATTTTGACGTTCAAACAACTGAATTTCCGATCTTCAAGTTATGTTAGGTAAAGATGTCAAAATTTATGAGGCTTTACATGAAGCATTTTGAGGAGTTTAAGAACAATAACTAGATTTATTAGTAACCGAATACAAGTGAGCAATAGCAAAAGCTATAGCCCATGGAGTGAAAAGAAATGAATTTATTCAATTAAAATATAGAAACATTGAAAAAAGCACCAGTCGGCATGATGGCAACAAAAACTAGTTGCTGTGATAACCATGGCAATTTCACGAAAATAATGTAAAGTGTATAACTATATAAAACAAGTTAAATAATTTTATCTGCTTGATGAATGGTAGAATATGAAAATATATGAATAAAAATAATTTTAATATGTGTAAAAATATAAATGAGAATATCATATTTTATCACATTTTTCTATTGTAGAACTACTCCTTGAATTAGTGATTTCTAGTGTGTTATCATAGTGTGAACAAAAAGTAGTTTAAAGGAAGATATAAGAAGTTTGTACAAAATATCTAGAGAGCGATCAACTTTTAACATTGGAAAAATTTCTAACTTAATAAACTAGAAATGTTATATTCAGTAAATAAATTAAAAATCACATTGAAAATGTTATTACGGGAACTATGATACTTATCACTTAAAAGTAGTATATCATTGAAATAACGAACCAATGTTAGACCATCACTGGAAACCTGGGAGCTTTGGATGGTCATTTCATCATAGTATGGGACTCCTCAGAAGTTCCCATGCATGATTCCGCACGCGGAATTCTAACCCAGAACTTTAGGTATCATGCATGAACTCTTAACTTCTAGATCACTGAGCTGTCATCTAACGGTGTTAATGGCTAACTTCAAACAATCCGCGATGTTGTGTAACCATCTTCATTTGCTCTATTGAGAATCTGCGATCAGTGGAGTTCATTCGTGTTGGGTATGAGGCAGTTGGCTATTATAGACAATGGAAAATATCGATCAATGTTGTGGATCGATTAGAGTTAAGCATAAACGCTGTTGGATGTCGGTGCAATGGTTTAGAAGTTAAGTATTCGCGTGCGAAACTGAAGGTCCTGAGTTCTATTCTCCAGTGCGTGATCACAGATGCACATTGCTGAGGAGTTCCATACTAGGAAGAAGCGGCCGTCTTGTGCTTCAAGGCCCCTAATGGTGGTCTAAAATTTATCAGTTCATGATTTCAATGAAATCCAACGATCCCCACAACCCCATACTGAGAAACGTAGTATAATTATAAAAAGTTTATTTTAAAATAGTTATTTTATCTACATGACAGTAAAAATTTAAAAGTTCAAAAATAACAAGATAGAGATAAAAAGAACACTGTGACAATTTAATAGCTTATTATCAAATTAGTTGATAACTGAAGTTCCATCTTCATTAACTCGAGCTTCCAAGGAAACAGCCCCAAGCATTGGACAGTAAGCACCTTGACAGATTGATTGATCTGAACACAAATAAATGAAATCAAGTACAATAACATTTTTAACGAAAATAATCGGAATTAATTGGTCAACAAAGCTTAAGTAAAATATGAATTCGTATCTACATGTTCCATGAATATATATGTATATGTTTCGACAAAGAAAGTAATGTTAAGTACTTCATTAAATGCAGTGCATTCTAATAGTATGGTTTTTCTGCTTATTATTGGCTATTATTTCTAACAACCACTTTTCAGACAAAATATAACCATTATAGACAAAATGAAAGACCATGTGGAGATTGAATTGAATAAAGTAACTTATTTGGAGCTCTATCGAAATTCCGATCACATTAAGCTATTAAAATGTTGCATCATTAATAAAAAGTGACGGTGATTCAAAAGTCAATGACAATTTACTATCTTCAATATTTTGAATTATAAAAATTTAAAGATTTATTATTGAATGAAAGTGACATTAGTGAGAAAATGTTTGATGCAAATATGTTTTAATCATATGAATTGCAAAAATGACATCATTCAAAAGAAAACCTTGATAAAGAAGTTTATTATTTCAATTAATGTCGGAAAATTCACATCAACTTTACACATGAGCTACCAAGACATTAGAACTATGCAGCTACATTTAATAAACCTTGATTTGTGAAAATAATTTCCAGTTTAAATGATTGTGCTGTGAATTTGCACCACGATCGATCTTAAATAAATCATAAATTTGCACAGTGCAACTTGGATATCTTTCCTATTTCTTAAATGCTTCAGTGACCTTTAAAGTAAACTTTTTAAATGGCTCAGAACATATTTAGGCTTCATGATCAAACCATTAATGTTTGAATAATAGTCTGAAGTGAAAACATAATAAAATGAAACATTAATGTTTCTGCAATTGGTTTTCGTTGATTCAATGTTAATATACATACATGAGAGCGAAACGTTACTTAATTAGATTTTAATCTTAGACATGGCTTAGTTATACTTCAGAAAATAACTAATTAAAATCTTTATTCTACTTCAACGTGGTATTATATTAAAATGAGTTTATAATATGTTTGATTCAAGGCATAATATCAATATATCCGTTAATACTTTTTTCTATTTGGTTCCGCTGAGATAAATTTATGGTTATCCTATTCTGTCCTAACCTGTGGTTATGAATCACTGTCTGAACATGAAAGTAGAAATAAGAAGAAACTTTTTAAAATGAATCATCTTGTGAAATCAATTTATTTAAATAGCAGAAATTAAACTGTAATTTTCTATGCTGAACTTACAAAATAAACTGAGTACAACGAAATTTGATCCATATTTGTTTTCCGCTCTACAAGAATAATTTCCATAATCGCCAACTCGTACATTACGAATTAGTAGAGTTGAGAAAACATCAGTTACCTAAATTTGAAGTGTATTTTTAAAAGAAAAACATTGACAAAAGTAATTTTAATATGTAATTGAATATTTTTGAAAACTTTCCTTTACAGTGTTTCAGAGTCCTAGGTGTCTAAAAGAGATTGTTTAATGAATTACAGTTTGATTAAAAATACTAGGAATCATGGATAAGAGATGTGGGAGATAATTGTCTACCTAAAGACTATAAGAGTGAAGACAAAATATATTGTTAGTACTAGCTTGAAGGCAGTTATAACAATTAGCTAATAGGCATGAAAGACTGACAGTAATAATTGTTAATCATTATTGTTTAAAAAAGATTGAAAGAAGTGTTAGAAGCATAGTAAAATAAGAGTTCGAATACACTGGTTTTGTACACAGAGCTCAAGCTTTAATTAACAATTAACGAAATGGTCTGAAAGGGAAAAGTTTTTAATCTTTATTTCTTAAAATTTCCCAACTATTTATCACTCGATCCCATTCTATGTTATAACAGACTACAAAACATGTTAAACGAATATAAATATGGTTGTATAATGTAATATAGTCGTTATTTTTTATAACGATGACGCAATGGATTCTTTTAGTTGTTTTAAACCCAAACACTTAACTACTTCTGACCCACAAATAATTTAAGATTGATTAATGGGAAGGTCTCGTAAGTAAAGTAGAATGTGTTAGATATTTCCCATTAAAACTGAGAGAAGATTAAGCACAGTTCAATCACATTATATAAAACTACAAGGTATTAAACAGAACTACTAAAACATACGAACCCAATGGTCGACTAAGTCACTGATTATTTATTCTGATATATGTAGAATTATATTGGCCAACAATCTTTAGACACAAATTGTAAACGTCAAACCAAATCAATGAAAAATCAATCATAGGAAAATAAGAATTCATTTCCACTATAAAATTACACTCTCTATTATTGTGTTTTCAATTTATTTTTAATTTATTCCGTTCCAAATTATATTAATTTCAACCAGTTAATTGATAGATCAAACTAATCTGGTTAATCACTTTGTATCTAAATCACTAAGTTTGCCTTGCACGGAGTATGTTATTAGTTTTATTTCGCTTTATTCATGGATAAATAACCATTTGTTAGCATGGGGTTGTGAAGATTGTTGAAATGCATTAAGATCACAAGCCGATCTAAGTTAGACATTTTAAAAACCTGGAAGCTATTTAAGGCCATTTCGTCCTACTTCGATGATATGTGGTGAAATAAGGTATGACTGG